GGGGGGGGGGGGGGGGGGGGGGGGGGGGGGGAGGGAAGCCTAAAGGAAGGTTGGTCCTTCTGCTCCATTGGCAGTTTTCTCGGCTGGAGCATTTACCGCCTTCTAATTAATTTCCCATCATTGGGACTTCCGTGGGAATCCGGCCAGAAGAGTGTAGCTCTTATTTTTAGGGTTCATCTGGAGGTGAGTAGTTCTTCCATCTGGCTGGAAACGCCAGGTAGTCCTCCACTTACGACCGTTCATTTAGTGACCGGTCAAAGGCAGAGCGGCACTGAAAACGGTGACTTAGGACCGTTTTTCACACTTACGGCCACTACAGCATCACGTGAACAAAATTCAGATTCTTAGCAACTGACTCATATTGCAGTGTCCCCTTTCCCACTCCTTCTAGCACTGATGTTGTTGTCTAGTTGGGTCATGAAACGTCTGCAAGGGGAACAACCCAGCTCAGAGAGCACCGAGGATTCCGTGGGAAGGGGTTGGGGGAGAAGACCTCCACGGCCTCGCCTGACCCAGGATTCTTGGATTCAACTCAATGGATGCGGGGGGGGGGGGGGGGGGGGGGGGGGGGGGGAGGGGAGGGGGAGACCAATCTAGAGTGAGTAGCAGCAGCTCCAATCGGCCACCCATTTCTCCTGGATGCCGGAGCCTTCACAAACACAATGGTGGGTAGTCCTCGACTTACAACCTTTCTGTCAAGCTTCAAAGTGTACTCATGGTGGGGAGGGAACTGGAATGTGAGTTCTAAACATCAGGCCGTCACCCTGTGGGAGCCAAGGTCCCTGCCGCAGGTGTTGCCCAGACTTTCAAGACGTCTGCTCACAACAATATGGTGACGTTTAATTGGACGATGTGACCTGCACTAATAGGAGGGAGGGAGGATTCTATACTTTAATTAGGTTCAATTGTGCGGGAATTAGCCAGAGCTGGTTTTGCTTTCATTCTGTGCCGAAATGATGTACTCAATAAAGTTTTGCATTAAGGGATCGTATCGCCTCGACGGTGTTTGCTGAGTTGGGTTCTTCAGTTGGAAGCTGACACTTATGACCGTTCGAAGTTACTATGGCTCTGAAAAAAGTGAGTTATGACCGTTTTTCACCCTTATGACCATTGCAGCATCCCCGGGGTCATGTGATCAAAATTCAGATACTTGGCAACTGACTCCTATTTGTGACGGTCGCAGTGTCCCGGGGTCACGGGATCCCCTTCTGACAAGCAAAGTCAATGGAGAAGCCAGATTCACTTAATGACGGTGTGACTAACTTAACAACTGCAGTGATTCTGCAGTTAACGATTGTGGCAAGAAGGGAGTAAAATTCCCTTAACGAGTGTCTCGCTAGGGAAGGTGATGGAAATGGGGGGACTACAGGACTCGGGGCAGCCTGGAACCCTAAAACACCCCCTGCCTTGCCCCAATGGTGGCTGATTAAACTCTTAGAAACTATTCTCTAATGTTTCAGTTTTCCATCTGCAATCAGAATAACAGAATGACAGAGGTGGAAGGGACCTCAGAGGTCTTCTAGTCCAACCCCCTGATCAAGCAGGAGACCCTCTGCCATTTCAGACAAATGGCTCTCCAATCTCTTCTTTAAAAACCTCCAGTGATGAAGCACCCACAACTTCTGGTGGCAAGCTGTTCCAATGGTTAATTGTCCTCAGTGTTAGGAAATTTCTCCTTAATTCCAGATTGCTTTTCTCCATCCGTTGCTTCTTGTCCTGCCTCCTGGTGCTTTGGAGAATAGGTGGACCCCCCCCTTCTTTGGGGCAGCCCCTCAAATACTGGAAGCCAATCATTGTGAGATGAATCCACAAGCCGTCTCAGTGCTGCGTTCTGGGGCATCCCTTCCTTTCAGAGCTGTGCTGGCTCCCCTTCGCCACCACAGCCCTCCTTCCCTCCCTCCCTCCCCCTGCCCCCTCCCCACTTGTGGGCTTGCCAAGGAGTCATGCATAACAGAACAGCGCAAAGAAAGACCCAGATTGAGGGTGAGACGTTCAAGTCAGCAGCCTCAGAATTTGGGGAGGGAACGGAAGACCTTTTCCACAGGGGAGAAATTCCAGGACTGCCTCGGTTGCTTTCCAGAAAGGGGAGTCTGCTGCCCAAACTTTTCATTCACAGGGTTTCCATTGCTCTCCTGCTCCATCCCAACCTCAACGCCGAGCCCCCCCCCCCCACATCATTCAAGGGGCTCTGAACAGCCACCACCACCCCTGAGCAGGGCAGCAAGGACCATCCTGGCTGGGTGCCTCTACTTAAAAAAAATGTAGGACCAAGAAGTGGTTCCATAACATACATACATACATACATACATACATACATACATACATACATACATACATTCCATCCAACGTCTTGGACAGAAGGAAAAGCTTCCCCACCAGAGTGGCTACATTGTGCTAGCAGGATTTTAAGAAGCTTCCTTCCAATGGGGTCACCTGGAGCTTCTCCCAAAGCCTCAGAAGAAGACAGGACTGAGAAGAAGATGAAAGAAAGAGACCGAGAGAAGAGAAAAGGGAGGAAGAAAGGGAAGGAAGAGAGAAGGAGGGATGAAGGTCGAAGGGCCCAAGATCTTACCGGGAAGGCATAGATGAAGATGCCCAGGAAGAGCAACAGAATGAAGACGAGGAGGAAGATGAGGAAGATCCACTTGAACCTTCTCCACAAGATGTACTTCAAGGTCTTGTAGGGCGAGGTGAACCACAGGAAGGAAGTCTCAGGGCGCCTGCAACAAAGAGCATCTCAGTGGGTGGAGGAAGTCAAGGTCACCTAACATAAGAGCTGCCAACCCATCACAGGGGCCAAGATGGACAGTTATGGCCAGGGTGCCAAGACTGGCTGAGATACTGAGCAGGGAGCCCTTCCTACCATCCTGTCTCTGATTTCTCTGGAAAGGAAATCGGGGTAAGTCAAGAACACTTTAGACTGGGGGTCTCCAACCTTGGCGACTTTAACACTGGTGGACTTCAACTCCCAGAATTCCTTTGCCAGTGAGTTTAAGACTGGTGGACTTCAACTCCCAGCTGGCTGGGGAATTCTCGGAAATTTTGTATTTATGTATTTTTACTGTTTGGCTGTTCACTGCCCTGAGTCCTTTGGGAGTAGGGCGGTATATAAATCAAATAAAGTAAGTAAGTCTTAAAGTGGCCAAGTTGGACACCCCTTCTTTAGATCCTGTGATATTATTGACATGTATTCCTTTCTTTTTCAATTTTCCCCTCTTCTCCAAGTATGGGTCTGTTGGAACCCTCAGTTACTTTCCAGATTTCCTCTTCAAATTCTTCTCATTCTCTCCAGTGGTCTCCAAAGAGAAGAGAAATTGAGCCAAAGCACCCCTCCCACCTCTCTTGGTGGCTCTTACTTTGGGTCTTCTAGCTTGGGGTTCATGTTGGGTTCATCCCGGCCCAGCCCAGCTGGCCGTTCTTCATGCTCTTGTTCATTGATGATCTCCAGTGTCATCTCCAACTTGCCCTGCAAAAGAGAGAGGTGAGGTGAGGTGAGGTGAGGCCACATTTGAAGACCCGGAGATGGGAGGATTGATCAGTTGTGGAGCAGTAGGTATGGGAGGCCACCTCATTTGCATGCAGAAGATCCAATTCTTGACATTTCCAAGGAAAGAAACTGGAAGAGACTGATGGAAAAGTCCCTTCTCTTCCATGGATACCAACTAGCAGTCAGAAAAGTCTTTAATTTCACAACATATGGGCAGACTTCACCCTTGTTTCAAGTGGGAAATGGTGACCATCCTAGATCAAGCCAAGTCCAAAATCAGTAGGGAATTTATAGAACTCGGACAAATTGGCCATCAATGGACACACAGACATAAACGATACCTACATACTATGCAAAAGAGACAACCAGCAATCCAAAAAGGGCATCAAAAGGCACCTCCCCATCAGCAATCCACACCCAGATGATCTTAGATTAACTCCAAGATGAACATCAGACCAACAGTCAAGAAGTAAACAATACCCCAATCAAGGAACTAAGAGTAAACAGCCCAACCAAAGAATCTCCCATTCCCACCAACACTGACAGGGCAAGCCACTAGAATATAAACTCAGAGCAAACCCCACTCTCTACCAGCACTGATGATGTGACCTAGTTGGGTTATGAAATGTCTGCAAGAAAACAATCAAGCTCAGAGAGCTCCAAGGATCCCACACTTCTCCTCCTCCTCGTCCTCGTCCTCCTCCTCCTCCTCCTCCTCCTCCTCCTCCTCCTCCTCCTCCTCCTCCTCCTCCTCCTCCTCTTTGTTGCCCCAAAGAGGAGGGGAGTCACCTTATTCTCTAAAGCCCCTGAAGGCAGGAGAAGAGGCAACGGATGGAAACTAATCAAGGAGAGAAGCAACCTGGAATCAAGGAGGAACTTCCTGACTGTGAGAACAAGTAGAAGGACTTGCCTCCAGAAGTTGTGGGTGTTTCATCACTGGAGGCTTTTAAGAAGAGACTGGGCAACCAGTTTTCTGAAATGGTAGAGGGCCTCCTTCCATTTCGAACAGGGGGTTGAACTGGAAGAAGACCTCCAAGGTACCTTCCAGCTCTGATGTTCTATGAACTAAATAGATTAACATGCTGCAAATTATGCAATTTTATGGCCTGATCCCAATGCTCCCTTTCTTCCTGAAGCAGTGAAGGAGGAGGAGAAAGGCTTCCCTCATCGCTTTGCACAGAACCTTTGGACACCATAATGTACGTGGCCATCAAAGCATCTCCTCCGGTGTCCCCACAGACATCGTCCCTGAACCTGCTTCCTGGAGTCTTCAAAGTTCCTCCAGAAGGGAGGTGGGGAGAGGAGGTTGCCTAGAAAATTTGCAATTCTGAAAGGGGAGCAGCCCTGGGGGAGCCTGGCCTGCCACTGGCCTTCTGGATAGTCATTCCAAGTCATCCAGTTCTAGACCTGACGTCTGCTGGCAGTAGACCACAAGCCAAGCTTGGCCCAGGAGCCTCTTGGAACCGAAACCGAGCTTCTGATGTCGCTTTCCTCTGATCCCTAACCCATAATTGGGGCAGGCCTGAGACTTCTGTGGTGTTTACATGGGTTTTTCCCCCTTCCAGCAGCACGTGAGACCCGGAAAAAGGGCAGCTCCCCCATCGCACACTCATGCCCACCCTTCTTACTGTTTCAGCCCTGCCTGCCTCCGTCCCGGTAAGCAGGGAACAAACCACAGACTGTTGAGGCTATTCCCAGTGCTTCACTGAGCATTCAGGCTTTAGGCTTGGCGCCCTCTGGGTTGCCGTGGGCACTGGGCACACCGACCCTTCTGTGGCCGAAACTCAAGGACCAGGGGAAGAATCCCGAATCAAAGAATCCAGATCACGTGAAGTGCTAGTAGCACCGCTTTGCAAAGCCTTAGTAAGGGCCACACTTGGAATCCTGCATCCAGTTCTGGTCGCCATAATATAAAAAAGACATCAAGACTCTGGAAAGAGGGCTAAGCTGTGGCAAGGAAGGTCGTAAAACGAGGCAAAACTCACTTAACAAAACGTCTCACTTAGCAACAGAAATTTGGGGATCGATTTTGGTCGTAAGCTGCATTAACTGTCCTCGGGGTAGGCAGAAGACTTTCAGAACATGAGAAGGAGAGGGTCGGAAGGGGCCTTGGAGGGCTCCTAGTCCAACCCGCTGCCATACTTCCACGCCCAGAACAAGCGGGGTCAGAAGAAGGCTTACCGCGAGGCTCTTGGTGCCTTCCTGCTCGGTCACGCAAGGCCACCAGCCCTTGACCGTCTTCTGCTCAAAGAGCGAGACGTCCCTCTCCGGAGCTCCAGGAGGTCTAAGTGGCATTTGTCGGCAGTCTTGCTTGGCTTTGGCATGCAGTTGAGGTCCAGCTGGATGGAGCCTGGAACGGTGGGAGAAAAGAGGAGTGGAAACTGGGGAGAAAGGGAGCCAAATAGCCAGGTCTCTTGCAGAGGGGAAGGGAGGGAGGGAGGGAGGGAGGGAGGAAGGAGGGAAGGAAGGAAGGAAGGAAGGAAGGAAGGAAGGAAGGAAGGAAGATGGGAATGAGAGGAAGGGAGGGAGGGAGAAAGAAAGGAAGGAGAGAGAGGAAGGAAGGAAGAAAAGAAAGAGAAAGGAGAGAGGAGAGAGGAAGGAAGGAAAGAAGATGGGAACGAGAAGAAGGAAGGAAGGAAAGAAAATGGGAATGAGAGGGAGGGAGGCAGGGAGGGAGGAAGAAAGAGGAAGGAGAGAGGAAGGAGGGAAGAAATAAAGAAAAGAAAGGAAGGAGAGAGAGGAAGGAAGGAAGGAAGGAAGGAAAGAAAGGAAGGAAAGAAAGGAAGGAAAGAAAGGAAAGGAAAGGAAAGGAGGAAAGGAAGGAAGAAGAAAGAAAGAAAGAAAGAAGAAAGAAAGAAAGAAAGAAAGAAAGAAAGAAGAAAGAAAGAAAGAAAGAAAGAAAGAAAGAAAGCCAAAATTTTCCTGGAAGGCTACCTATCTAGGTGTATCTGGGGGAGGCTGGACCTCTCTGGAAAGCCACATGGATGCCCAGAATTCAACGGCCTTCTTGTGGCCTTTCAGGAGCCCTTCCAGGTCGTGGCTGACTACCTGTGGGGAGCTCGTTGTGGGCCGTGGGTCACCCTCAGGCGTGGCCCTGTCTCAGGCGCCATTTGTCCCCCTCTTCCCTTTGCCCAAATGTGCCCCAGGCAGCGTCTATAGATGTGGAGAGATTCGTGGCACAGAGAGGGATTCCAATACTGTCCCGCAACCACATCAACTTTTCTTTCTCTTCTACGATTTCAGAGCTGCACATTCATTCCTGGCAGTCTCCCTGCCAGTTCCCCCAAATAACCCCCAAAACACAACCACGTTAAGCAGGAGAGGAGAACCCGGAGGGCAGTGAAGCAGCAAGGTAGCTATAGACAGAAGGGAGAAATCCAGCATTGGCCTCCTCAGATTTACCACGCACCCAGGTAATCATCGAAGGAGAATTTGTCGTTGTCCCAGATTTGAAGGACCAGCTGGGGGGCGACTTTATTCTCTGTCTTGTCCAAGCTCCAGAAATGTTCCTGCATTTGAGCATAGAGAAGAAGTCATGGCAAGCAGGACCGCAGTGAGGTTCACCATTAAGTAACCGAATACAGAATCCGCTCCAGAGGTTGTGGGTGCTGAATCGCTGGGGGTTTTCAAGAAGAAATTGATTCAGATTAACAGGGTTGGAAGGGACCTTGGAGGTCTTCTAGTCCAACCCCCTGCCCATGCTGGGAGGCCTTATGCCATTCTGGACAAATGGCTGTCCATTTTCTTCTTCAAAACCTTCAGTGATGGAGGACCCACAAGTTCTGGAGGCAACTTCTGTTCCACTGATGAATTGTTCTCACTGCCAGGAAATCCTTCCTTATTTCTAGATTGGATACTTCTGTATTCCAGTGCAAACCCTCTGTAGAGAGATCAACCCCCCACCCCTTCTAGTACTGATGATGTTATCTAGTTGGGTCAAGAAATGTCTGCAAGAAAACCACCAAGCTCAGAGAGCACCAAGCAGTTCACTCCTCCTCCTCCTCCTCCTCTCCTCCTCCTCCCTCCTCCTCCTTCCTCCTCCTCCTCCTCCTCTCCTCCTCCTCCTCCTCTTTGCAAAACCTACTCCCTTCTAGTACTGATGATGTTCTCTAGTTGGGTCATGAAACCACCAAATTCAGAGCGCACCAAGGACTCCGCAGTTCAGCCCTGAGCTACAAATATTCTCTTCTATCCCCACTAGTAGTACATAAGCAGAGGGCCAATCCTCTTCTCTCCTAGCACAGACCCATCAGCATTCAACACAGCTGCTTTTGAGCCTCCATGGACCCCCCCGCAAGGGTCACCTCAGCCTTCCCAGATGCTCACCTTCTTCGCCACGGAGCAGACCTGCTCAGCAGGGAGATAATCAAAGGGGAAGATGAACCTCCAGTTGAAGTTGCCTTCACCTCCCAGTGACCTGTAGTGCACATCTGTCTTCTGCTTGTTCTCCTCGTAACCAACCAGCCACCTGCAAGCCACAGAAGAAGACCAGGCCCATCAGCCACAACATCCAGCCACAGGAGCTCCCTGTCGAAGAGTGGTCCCCAAAGGGCTTTTCCCTCCTCACCCAAGAAGCTTCTTCAGTCCTTGGTTGAGAACTTCAGGACTTCTTGGATGAGAAGCCAAGGGAAAAACCCCAAGAAAGTCCAGTTGCCTTGTGGAAAAGGCCTTTGGGATAAGTGTGAGGTGGATGATTGAGGAAAGCTTTGGGGTTCCTACCCTTTCACGTAGATGTCGCTCATTTTCTGACCGGTGATGCTGAGGTCATCCAGGATGACGTCTTGGGCATTCCAGACAATGCAACGCAAGTAGAACCTGGGAGAAAGAGCCCAGATGGGGTTCAAGAGTCTTTTGTCAAAGAGAAGAACAGCAAACAATACAAGTATAAAAATATATGACGAGGGTCTTTCACTACAACCAGCAATGGAGTAATCACCTCCCAGGTTCCTAGGATCTACTTCGTAGCTGAAAATCAAGGTAGTCCATGACATCCCCCTCTCTCCTCTTTTCCCTCCCAGAAGGAAGCCACCAGATAGTTGCAACATCCCAAGCAGTAAATGCCACCTCTACCCAATTCCTCCTCCCAGAAACAGAATTCACCTTCCACAAGCCATTTCAGTAGCATCCCCAGAGAATCAACCCTCCAGGGATGGACCTGCTCTCCGGAATCTGCTGGCCTACTGACTGCAGAATAACAGAGTTGGAAGGGACCTTGGAGGTCTTCTAGTCCAACTCTCTGGCCAAGCAGGAAACCTTACAGCATATTAGGCAGTTGGCTGTCCAACCTCTTCTTAAAAACCTCCAGTGATGAAGCTTCTGAAGGCAACTTCTGAAGGCCACTTCAGAACTTCTTCAGAACAACTTCTGGTGGCAAGCTGTTCCAATGGTTAATTGTCCTCAGTATTAGAAAATTTCTCCTTCATTCCAGATTGCTTTTTTCCTTGGTTAGTTTCCAACTGTTGCTTCTTGTCCTGCCTTCTGGGGCTTTGGAGACTAAGTGGTCCCCCACCTCTTCTTTGGGGCAGCCCCTCAAATACTGGAAGCCAATCATTGTGAAATGAATCCACAAGCCATCTCAGTGCTGCGTTCTGGGGCATCCCTTCCTTTCAGAGCTGTGCTGGCTCCCCTTCGCCACCACAGCCCTCCTTCCCTCCCTCCCCCTGCCCCCTCCCCACTTGTGGGGTTGCCAAGGAGTCATGCATAACAGAACAGCGCAAAGAAAGACCCAGATTGAGGGTGAGACGTTCAAGTCAGCAAGCTCAGAATTTGGGGAGGGAATGGAAGACCTTTTCCAAAGAAGAGAAATTCCAGGACTGCCTCGGTTGCTTTCCAGAAAGGGGAGTGGCTGCCCAAACTTTTCATTCACGGGGTTTCCATTACTCTCCTGCTCCATTGAACAGCCCACCCCCGCCCCGAGCAGGGCAGCAAGGACTACTCATGCTGGGAGCTCTGCTTAAAAATGTAGGCCCAAGAAGTGGTTCCATAACTTTGATAAGAGCCGCAAAGCTGTAAAAGGGATACTTTGAAGGTCATCTATTCTCATCCAAGAAAAGGCCCTGAGCAGCAAGCTCTCCGATTTACATAAATAAATTAAATATATATATATATTAATATTTTCCATCCAACTTCTTGGACAGAAGGAAAAGCTTCCCCACCAGAGTGGGCTACACTGTGCAAGCAGGATTTTAAGAAGCTTCCTTCCAATGGGGTCACCTGGAGCTTCTCCCAAAGCCTCAGAAGAAGACAAGACTGAGAAGAAGATGAAAGAAAGAGACCAAGAGAAGGGAAAAAGGAAGAAGAAACGGAAGGAAGAGAGAAGAAGGGATGAAAATCGAAGCTCCCACAATATTGGAAGGCTGCTATCATGTCAACTCCATTAAACTTCTTTTAATTAAAAGTGGCCATGCTCCTTCTCAAGATAGTCACGTCTTTTCTTTTTCGGTGTCCCATTGAGAGCCTGCTTGTCCTAAGCATCTGGATGACCATGTTGAGGTTCCTCTTGTACTATACTGGGCATGGACATGCACAATGTTAACCCCTCGGCAACTGCAGAGTCCCATGGCAAGGAGGCCACGTTGGGGCTCCCTTCATGGTTGCAATCCTGGAGATCACCTGCTACAGAGGGGTGGGGAATGCGTTGGTGGTTAAATCCAGCCTCCATGTTCAAAAGCGACCTTCTTAAAAAGGCCAAGAGATGGTAGGGAAACTTCAGTGTCTTCTTTCACTCTCCGTCTTGAGGGCTACTAGAGTTAGGAAGAAGATTTTCAGCCAGATGAAACCGGTCATATTCAACAGATCGTCTACGGCAGTCTTTCTCAACCTTGGCCCCTTGAAGATGGGTGGACTTCAATTCCCAGAATTCCCCAGCCAGCCAGAATTCTGGGAGCTGAAGTCCACTCATCTTCAAGTGGCCGAGGTTGAGAAACTCACTGGTCTATGGGGAAAGCTACTGTGATGATCCAGAGCATGGCACAGTGATAACACAAACAGCTGGCAGTTCAAATTTCCCCAAACGCTCCCATGTTTCTGGCCCAGAGCAAAGTGATGTCAAACCCACGCACACACCTCAAGCAGCCTCTGGCTGCAAATAGCCCAGCCGAACACTTACACCAGGGCTGCACAGCAATAAATCCAGCAGGGCAAATCAAGGACTTCAGGAAGAAAAAGATCCAGGTAATTAGTCCAGAAAGCCAGAAAGAATGCAAGGATTCTTGGAAAGTTCGAACATCGGCACTCAACACTTCAGGAACTCAGTGTTTGTTCCCAACAAATGTCCCTTCCCACAGTGTCACCTTAAGTCTCATTCCCCAGGTGTGCCTTGTGAAAATGGGTGGGGCACTCTTCTCCTTAGCCTGCTCAGTCTACAACGTTCACACCTTCTCTCCTCTCTCCGTGCTCTCGGATCAGGAGGGGGTGGTCCTTGCTCCTCGCCTGAGCTCTGTCTCTCATGTTCATCCTGCCCCTGTTCCTCCCTGCCTACAAGCTGTCCTAATCCCGAAAGGCCCTGGCCTTCCCCATTTTCCTCCGAAGCCAACGAAGCCGCTCCCTCAATCTCCGTAGGCTCAGGTTCCAGCTCATCTTCCCCTGCAAATTCAGGCTCCGACGGGGGCATGGCAGCTACGTGCATGAAAAAGTCTGAGAGGGGAGGTCCTTACCTCTTTGCTCTTCGCGGGGTCACGTTGAATGGTGGTCCCGGTGGCCCAAGGGATTTAGGAAACAGGTCCACCCAAAGCTGAACTTTGCCCTGTAATGAAAGGGGAAGCCATGTATTAGAGAAGAAGGGTCTCTTTGCAATGTCCCTGGCCAAGGATCTGGGTTTGAATGCAACTCCGTGACTCTGTAGCCAGATGTCTGTGGTGACAGCAGTGGAATTCCTGTAGAAGACAACCAATCTCTCCATCCTCTTCCTGTCTATTGTGGTGGTTTACTAAGGACTGGTCATTGGTCCAACCGACTCACATACCCAAGTTTCAGTTAGGCCCTGGCCGAGGGAGGAGGGAGTCTTCGACCAACCTGCATCTACACACAACTTTAATTAGCTGGAGGGCAATCACTAGGCAGCCTTGCCTTGGAATGCACCATCTCTTGTGGGGGGGGAGGGGGGGCTTATAAAGCCTGGATATTGATAATGTCTGCAGAATAATTTGGGGTTCCAACTTGAGCTCAGGTTGTGCAGCAATAAATCAGATTGAAATCCAGGCAGCTTTGAGGAAAGGAGATTTATTTATTCTCCAAAACAAAGAGGTTTGCCTAGGGGGGCAGCTAGTGAGGAAGTGGGGCACAGAGAGGTCATTTTATATGGAAGTTTGTCCTGGGTGTGTTAGTGTGTACGTGTGGATTTCTCGGGTGACACTTAAGGGGTGTGGGTGGGTGTACGTGCTGACTCCAGAGAAGTTGATTAAATCAAGTAGTGTGAATTGGGTCTCTTTGTTTGAACTGTATTATAATTATGTTTACCTTGTGCCAATTGGGTCTGTGTGCTTGCTTTTGTGTGTGTTTACAATTTGAAATAGGTGTTTAATTAATCCTTATTTGTTGTAAATTTGAAAAGATTTGGGGGGCTGCTAATCAGTCATGTTAGAGACACGGGATTTCCTAAATAATATTTCTAAGACATTTATATGCATTTATAATTTTTTCCCACAATAGGAATCTCTCCCATCAACTCCCACGTGCTGACATGTGGCATCCTTTACACCAGGAAGTAAATTGCCTAAGATGTGTGAATTGCCCTGATCATCTTGAGTGGAAGCCAACATCATCGCCAGCGTCTGATGATGGATATGGAAGAAGAAGGAGGAGTGGGAGGGGAGGAGGACAAAGGGAGGAGGAAGGGAGGAGGAGGAGGAGGAGGAAGAGAAGAAGAAGAAGAAGAAGAAGAAGAAGAAGAAGAAGAAGAAGAAGAAGAAGAAGAGGCAGCCACATGTTCCTTCAGAGTCACCACCTTCTCCCTGCCAACTTTACCTGTTCAATGTCCGGCTGGAGAGGGCTGTACAGCTGCCTGGTCTCCACGTGCTCAGGGATCAGGCCGTGCTTTTGCAGGACGTGCAGGGCAAGCCGTTCCTCCAGAGGACCCAGGTGGGGGTTGGGGGGCTTGCTGTCCTCTGAATCGAAGAGAAAAGGCAGAGGTTTCACCTGTGGGTCAACTGTTGGGGCTCCTGTCCGCAATGCAGGGAGGGATGGAGGGGGAAGGACGCAGCGGGGACCCCAGAGTTCCGGCTGCTGTTCTGTTTGCATTTGCTCAAGCTGCCCACTCTTCTCTTAGGTTAGTGACAGAAGAAAATGTTTCTGGCGCAGGGTTGAACTATGTGGTCCTTGGTGCGCTTGGTGGGTTTCTTGCAGACGTTTCATGACCCAACTAGGTAATATCATCAGTGCTAGAAGGGAGGGGGGTTTGCAGAGGAGGAGAGGAGGAGGAGGAAGAGGGGGGTGGAAGGGGGAGGATGACTGTGAAGTTCTTGCTGCTCTCTCAACGTGGCTGTTTTCTTGCAGACATTTCATTACCAAACCAGGTAACTTCATCAGTGCTAGAAGCTGCCAGAGCTCAGCCCTGTGACAACGTCTCTCTGTGCTGGACAGAAGCTTCACCTACAGGCCTCTGCTGCCCACACAGACCCCAAAGGGGATTCATTGTCTTTTGGGAGATCCGAAAGAGGTGCCAGAAAGCTGGAAGACTCTGTCACTCTTGATATATAGAATAACAGAGTTGGAAGGGGCCTTGTAGGTCATCTAGTCCAACCCTACACTATTCCTGAAAGATGGCAGTCCAATCTCTTCTTGAAAGCCTCCAGAGATGAAGCTCCCACAACTTCTGAAGGCAACTTTTGTTCCATCGATTGTTCTCACCATCAGAAAAATTCTCCTTATTTCTAGGTTGAATCTCTTCTTGTTCAGTTTCCATCCATCATTCCTTGTCTGGCCTTCAGGTGCTTTGGAAAATAGCTTGACCCCCCTTCCTCCTCTCTGGGGCAGCCTCTCAAATATTGGAACTCTGCTTATCATCTCGCCCCTGGTCCTTCTCTTCCCTAGACCAGCCAGGCCCATTTCTTGCAACCGTTCTTCATGTTTTAGCCTCCAGTCCCCTCATCATCCTGGTTGCTCTTCTCTGCCCTCTTTCTAGAGTCTCAACATCTTTTTTATAGTGTGGTGACCAAAACTGGACGCAGCCTTCCAAGGATGGTCACACTTTACTTAAAAACTGCCAGTTAGTACCAATAAAGGAGAATCTTTGTAGCTCAGGGTTGAAATGAGGGCTCCTTGGTGCTCTCTTTAGCTGGGTGGTTTCCTTGCAGATGTTTCATGACCCAAGTAGGGAACATCATCAATGCTAGTAAGGAACGGAGTTTGCTTCCCATTCCTTACTAGCACTGATGATGTTCCCTACTTGGGTCATGAAACGTCTGCAAGGAAACCACCAGGCTCAGAGAGAACTAAGGACTCCACAATCCTCCTCCTCCCTGCAAACCCTCCCCGCTTCTGGCACTGATGATGTTCCCTAGTTGGGTCATGAAACGTCTGCAAGGAAACCACCAGGCTCAGAGAGCACCGAGGACCCCTCACTGGCCAGTCAGTTGCTGCTTTTGCAGGGGCCGGAGTGGGAGGCCTATTCAGTTTGAGATTACTGGCCGCACAGCCGTGAACTGAAGCTGCAAGGAAGCCGAGAGGCGGGAGCTGCGTGGTTTTTACCCAGGTCCGAGAGGTGATACGTTTGATCTCCAAAGATGACCTGGTCAGTCTTGTAAACCGGAAGTTTGCCGTTGTGTTGCAAGGAAAAGTGATGGAGGAGTTGTGACGGGCGCAGCTGATCTCTCCACTGGTTGGGCCCAGAACTGGAAGGGGAGAAACGGGACAATCAAGCAGAGGAACCTCAAAGCATCCTTGCTCCAACGCTCTGCAAGGTCTGGACAGGTAGTCCTCCACTTACGACCAAGCACAATTGAGCCCCAAATGTCTGTTGCTAAGCGAGACCCTTGTTAATTGAGCTTTGCCCCATTTTACAACCTTTTTTTTTTTTGCCAAAATAGCAGCGGTTAAGTTAGCAACACGATTATTAAGTGAATCTGGCTTCCCCCCGGAGGCCTTTGCTTGTCAGAAGGTCGCAAAAGGGACTGTGTGACCCAGGGACACTGCGACCGTCATAAAGATGAACCAGTTGCAAAGCGTCTGAATTTGGATCACGTGACCTCAGGGATGCTGCAACGGTCGTAAGTGTGAAAAACGGTCATTAAGTCACTTTTTCAATGCTGTTGTGGATGAACTGTTGTAAGTCAAGGTCCATCTATAGAGACTTGAAGCTTCAGTTTGTTGAATTTTCCTCTAGAGCCACTCTGGCTGGTCACAGATGGGATTTAGGGCAGACCTAGCTGCAAAGTTGTTTTCTGAGATCAAACAATACAGATTAACAGAGTTGGGAGGGACCTTGGAGGTCATCTAGTCCAACACCCCTCTCCCCGCCCAAGCAGGAGACCCTACACCATTTCTGACAGATGGCAGCCCAGTCTCTTCTTGGAAGCCTCCAGTGATGAAGGTCCCACAACTTCTGTTCCATGGGTTGATGGTTCTCACTTGTCAGGAAATTTCTCCTTATTTCTAGGTTGAATCTGTTTCCATTCATTATTCCTTGTCTGGCCTTCGGGTGCCTTGGAAAATAGCTGGACCCCCTTCCTCCTCTCTGTGGCAGCCCCTCAAATACTGGAACACTGCTCTCCTGTCTCCCCTGGTCCTTCTCTTCCCTAGACTAGCCAGGTCCAGTTCTTGCAACCGTTCAGGAACTTAACATAATATATACTTCAAGCCCTTAGACAGACGTGTAATCATGTTCAGCTACATAGGATGGGGCTGAATCTGGTATGTTCTCCATGCAAAAGTCTGTCCCACCACTAAGCAATGTCAGTTTCATAGTGGCAGCATCTGAGAAGTCCAGGAATCCAGAGATGCCACCACCAGGATGGTCCTCTCCTCCACTTTGGAAGATGAGTCAAACTCTGTGAGCAAGTTTTATATGATTGTCCAGAAGTACTCACACGCAGTAAGTCTGAGGAAGGCCACAACGAGCCCCATATCTGGAAAGGAAGCGGTTCTCTAGGTCAATGATGGTCTCCCCAATCTTCTCATCTTTGGACAAGAGGTCATAGTCATACAGGGTGATCTTCAAGTCCTTCTCCATGGGCAACGTACAAGTCAACTCAAACATCCTACAGAAAGCAGAAACACGCCAGTCAGCTGAAAGGAACATGGGCTAGGATTTTATGGAGTTGCTGCAGCTGTTCAGCAAATGAAACTCCTTTCTAGCACTGATGAGGTTACCTCGTGGGGTTATGAGATGTCTGCAAGGAAATAACCAGGCTCAGAGAGCACCGAGGACCCCATAGTCATCTCCTCCTCCTCCTCCTCCATTCACTGCAGGAGAACTCACCACCGACAATTCAACACTGTGCTTATCATTTCATTCAGTTACTTTTATTATTGGTGTCCACATTTTGGTTGAAATTATTGTAACTGTTGTATTTCTGGATTGACTTTCCTTATTTTACTATCATTGGCCACGGTTCGGTTGAAATTGATTTAACTTCTGCATTTGTTGAATTGTCCTGCAACGGCTTGTCCCATAGCGAGTTCTCTGTGGCAAGTTGTCCCATTCCATTCAGGAAGAGCTACTCCCCTCCCCACACCCTGTCAGGGACTTATATGGGAAGACTTACTTTCCAAAGACCGGGTCCAAGGTACAGGGGATGTAATTGTCCTGATCGTTGATGGACTTCTTCCCCGCAGAAATCTTCACATAAGGATCACACTGAGGGGAAAAGAGAGAGAGGGCCAAGGCACTGAAGAGGCAGGAAAGGACCAGCGAAGGCAAACCGTCCTTAGATATTTCTCCCATAAACGTTCAGACTGCAACCCTATGAAACAGGCTGGTTGGAGAATGAAGAGAACCTCAAGTCACCCTTGGGTCTTCTCCTGTCCTTCACCACTACACCATGCTGCCTCTACTGGTTCCTGCAAATAGACTGAGCAACGAAAGAGGAAACTTAAGAGGAAAGCTCCGGAATAGGAGTGTCCAACCTTGGCCACCTTAAGACCTATGGACTTCAACTCCCAGAATTCTCCATCCAGAACTTTCCTTCCCAACCTGGTGGCCCACAAATGCATTGAACTTCTTGTTGGCTGGGGCTGATGGAGGCATAGGGGAGTAGTAGTCCAACCCATTTGGGACCCACTCAATTAAGGAACGTTGCTCTGTGTGTCCTCAAGAATCCCCCCCATAGACACATCTAAACTCCATATACCTTACGTTAAATAAAAACTAAACTGATGTAAGCCACATGTTGACCATAGATGGAACCTACGTTGCTACTGAGAATAAACAGACACTCATCACCAGCTCCCCCACCCACCCCCCACCCCATTCGTTGAGCAAATGGCTTGCCAGTGAAGATGAAGCCACACAGAGCTCAGGGTTAGGAATGGCCCCCCCTCAACTAAAGTCCCAAAGTCCCAAAGGCCCTTTCTCCAAAAGGCAACGGGAAAGCCTTGGCTTTTTACTTCAAAACATTTAATTTCTCATCCAAGAACAAGCTTCGGTTCTGAAGAATTGAATAAGCTTTAGAAGGGAATGGGAATGGAATGGAATGGAATGGAAGGGAAGGGAAGGGAAGGGAAGGGAAGGGAAGAGAAGAGAAGAGAAGAGAAGAGAAGAGAAGAGAAGAGAAGAGAAGAGAAGAACTTGGAGGTCTTCTAGTCCAGCCCCCTGCTCAAACAGGAAACCCTATACATTCCAGAGTGGCTGTCCAGTCTTTTCTTAAAAACCTCCAGTGAATCTGGAGCACCTACAACTTCTGGAGGCAGGCTGTTCCACTGGTTGATTGTTCTAAATAGGAAATTTCTCCTTAATTCTAGACTGGTTTTCTCCTTGATTAGTTTCCATCCATTGTTCCTTGTCCGGCCTTCAGATGCTTTGGAAAATAGGTGGAGCCCCTCCTCTTTGTGGCAGCCCCTGAAATACCAGAAGACTGCTCTCATGCCCCCCCCTCCAGTCCTTCTTTTCTAGACTAGCCATGCCCAATTCCTGCCACCGTTCCTCGTGTGTCTTTGTCTCCAGGCCTTTAATCAGTTGCTCTTCCTTGCACTTTTTCTGCACTTTACTTGGAGGAGAAGCTAAAAGTTTTCAAAGGAAAAAACCCCAGAAACTCTGTTTGCCTTTTAGAAAAAAGCACCTTTGGGACAACCATGACCTGGATGGTGGAGCATCTCCACAGACATGAAGTGCAGGAGGAGCAAAATCTCTTGGAGCACGAGGGCAGGAGGGTTTCTTGTGAAGTAGGGCGAGGAAGCCAAGGACTCCTCAAGGGACCTGAGGAGAAACCTTCTGAGAACTTTTTCCAAGATGCCCTGGAGTTTCTCTCTTGGAGGGGTCCCTCTGCTTCCTGAAGGGTCAGCCCCCCCCCCCAATTCTCCATCCACAAGCTCACTTTTCCATTGGAGTCCTTTGGCTGCAGATCAAAGGCCCGGATGATGTAAACCCTCACGAGACACTCCTGGGGGCCTCGGGCTGGAAGCTGGTGGAACTGGCGCGGAGGGACGGGCACCGTGGGGTCGTCGGGCAGAGGGTAGATCTTGAACGAGCCCTGCAAGGGGAGGAAAGGCGTGAGTCTTCCACCAACGCAGGTTGCTTGGACCTCTGTCCAGATGTTGCAGAGGGACTCCTGAAGGATGCTGGGATCACCTCTTGTATGGCTACTACAGGGGCAGCCTTCTCTCAAGACAGTATCTCTAGCATAATTTTTATTGTGTTGTGTTGTAATTGTATTGTATTGTATTGTATTGTATTGTATTGTATTGTATTGTATTGTATTGTATTGTATTGTATTGTATTGTATTGTAGTTTAGTTTAGTTTAGTTTAGTTTAGTTTAGTTTAGTTTAGTTTAGTTTAGTTTAGTTTAGTTTAGTTTAGCTTTAGTGATGGGCCAACCTTGAATTCTCCAACAACGGTGGGGTCTTCGCTGTCATCCTGAGCTTTGCCACGGGACAACTTAAAGGTGTGGCAGAAATCTGAAAGGCCTCCAAAGTCTTCGACATTCTCCAACTCTGTCTCGTAGATCTAAGGAGAGAAGGAGATGGAAAGCATTTTGTTTCTTCTTTCTTCTCCTCAGGCGTTAAAAGGGATGGGCAGGGAGAGGGAAGCTCCCTCCGGTCTGTTGCCATCTTTCCACTCTCAGATAAGCCCTTTCCATTGAGAGCAAAGGCGAGAGTGGGGCATTGGCCTAACTTCTAACTTCCCCTAGATCTCCCGGCTTGAATGCTGTTGGGTACCTGCCAGCTAAGCTGGAAGGATGAGTCAAGCAAGGACCTAGCTTAGAATCCTTACACAGTCACAAGAGGCATAAGCCTGACTTCTCCTTCCAGCCTAGCTGGCAGCTTTCCCACAGTTGCCCTCTCTAGGAAAATACACAATGGATCTTGAAGGTCACCAAGAGGTACCCGAGAGGTTCCTGGAAGGATATGATAAGAGTGGATATGGCGGGCACATTAAGTCCAACATCTACTTGATCAGTAACCTGGACCAGCTTCTAACATTTTGTTCCAGTCTTCAAAAGGCTGTGGAGCAACTCCATGACCAGGAGCTGCACCCACAAGGTACAAGGGCAGCCTGCAAATTATCCCAAGGTGCACTGGGAAGATAATTTAAGCAGGGCTAGTGAACTCTTAAGTAGCAGTGTCCAAACTGAGAAAAAAGGAGTGAAGATGGAAAGTGGCCAGCGGCTGGTAGGTTTCTTGCAAGTGCTGAATCCAAAATGGAAGGCCAATGTTGACGGCCAAGACATCTTAATGTTTAGAGCCAGCGCAACCCACCCAAAGTTTCACCCTGCTAGCCACTCAGTGTTGTGGTTCTTGAGCCAATCAGCGGCCCAGGTGCCTTATGAAGTTCAGTCCTAGACTGAGGTCAAAATATTCCTAGCAAAGAACCAAGAGGTGACAATTTCATCTCCAAAGCAATGGATTTCATCACACTCTCTCTCCCCCTCTCCTCCCTTTCTTCTCTTTCTCCCTTCTCTCTCTCTCTCTCCTTCACATACACCCCCCCCACCCCACAGACGCTATCCAGGGTCTTACCTTGAGGGTGTCAAAGCCTTTCTCCAAATAGGTGCCACATTTCTCTCGCTCACCCGTGGACGCATAGAATTTGCTCCACCAGTCAATGAACTCTTCTTCCTGTGCATGAAACAAAGGACCCAACACCTCGCTTATTACCTGGAGACCATCCAAGAGCTTCTGCTCTACAGCACATGGAGCATTTCAACCACGGCCTTTTCCAAGCTGTGCCTTCCAGATGTCCCAAACGTCAAATACTGCACAACAGAGCCTGTGCTGGCTAGGGATGATGGAAGTCGGCCTCTGTCATAGACGAGGCAATCCAGGTTGGGAAACGATGGCCTGGACACCCGGAGCAGTGAGGTTCCCGTGTTTTATCAAAGTCAGAAGGGATAGATCAGGTTGGATTTGCAGAATATCAGCAGGGCATCCTGAAGAGGCCAGATCTAATGGAGCATCTCTGGTTTAAGGGCCAGGCTGAGTTGAAGGGAGAGTCAGAAGACCAACAAAGGAGAATCTTTGTAGCTCAGGGTTGAAATGAGGGGTGCCTGGTGCTCTCCGAGCTTGGTTGTTTCCTTGCAGACGTTTCGTGACCCAAAGGAAGTAACGTCATCAGTGCTAGTAGGAGAGAGGAGGAGGAGGAGGACTGTGGGGTCCTGGGTCCTCTCTGAGCTTGGTTGATTCCCTCCAGATATTTCATGACCCAACTAGGGAACATCATGAGTGCTAGTAGGAACAGTGGGGTCTGCTCTCAACTGATATTGCTCGTCCTACTAACACTGACAGGGCTTGCCCAAGAGCACTGATGATGTCACGAATTTGGGCACCACAGTCCTCCTCCTCCTCCTCTGCCTCTCTTCAAACCCCACCCGCTTCTAGCACTGCTGATGGTATCTAGTTGGGTCATGAAACGTCTACAAGGAAGCAACTTTGCCGAGCTGAGAGAGCATTACGGAGCCCTCTGAGTCAGAAGGAGCTGGAGACCCTCTCAGCAGAAAGCCAGGCTTTCCTTTCTAAGCCCTCCTCCCCCCCCCCCCCCCCCCCCCCCCTTTTTTTTTAAAATAGCTAACTCTTCTGAAATTGATTGAAACCACAAAGGGGCAATTTGTATCTCGTGAAACATTCCTCCGCAAATAAATAACTCATTTTAGAATTCCACAAAATTCCATCGTGCTAAGCTCATCAGGAAGCCAGAATTTATAAGGTTTATAAAGTTTGACTGCAAGGCAGCCCTGCAACAGTCCTACTCTCAGTCACCTTCTGGGGGGCACCCAACCCTCCCCTCCCCTCCCCTTGCCCCTCCCCCCATTTCTTCCCAGAAAAAATGACACGGATTTCCGGGTTTTTCCCCCAGGTCTCCCCCGTTTTTCATCCAGAAAACTCCTCTCTGACCACCCAATGCACAGGTGGTCCTCAACTTACGACCACAATGGAACCCGTAATTTCTGTTGCTAGGCGAGACCGTGGTGATATGGGCTTTGGCCCACATTACGACCTTTCTTGCCAAGTGAATTCCTGCAGTTGTTCAGTTAGGAACCCGGTCGTTAAGTGAATCTGGCTTCCCCCGTGGTCAGAAGGTCGCCAAAGGGTCGTAAATACGAGCCGGTTGCTGAGCCTCTGAATTCTGATCATGTGATCGTGAGGAAGCTGCAACGGTCGTAAGTGTGAAAAATGGTCCCAAGTCACTTTTTTTCAGCGCCGTTGTAACCTCGGATGGTCACTAAATGAATGGTCTTAAGTCAAGGACTTCTTGCAGTGAATTACAGTGTCGAGGTGGCCTCCCCACCCGTGAGATCAAAGCTCTCTCCGTGTTTTAGGGGTGTCCGATGGCTGTATCTCCCCATTTTTCTGACTATATTCCAGGGACAGGCCAGAAATTCACATCTGTAAAGCAAAGAACAGCCTTTCCATCCCATTCGTCCATTCTGGAATAACAGGATACCAGAGTTGGAAGGGACCTTGGAGGTCTTCTAGTCCAGCCCCTTGCCCAAGCAGGAGACCTCATACCAGTGTTTCTCAACCTTGGTAGCTTGAAGATGGGTGGACTTCAACTCCCAGAATCCCCCAGCCAGCAGCGGCTGGGGGATTCTGGGAGTTGAAGTCCACCTATCTTCAAGCTACCAAGGTTGTGAAACACTGCCCTAGAACATTCCAGACAAATGGTTTTCCAGTCTCTTCTTGAAAACCTCCAGTGATGAAGCTCCCACAACTTCTGGAGGCAACTTCTGTTCCTCTGGTTAATCATTCTCACTGTCAGGAAAGTTCTAGGTTGCTTCTCCCCTAGATTAGCTTCCATCCATTGCTTCTTGCCCTGCCTTCAGGTGCTTTGGAGGCTAGGTCAACCCCCTCTTCTTTTTGGCAGCCCCTCAAGTATTGGAAGACTGCTAACATGTCACCCCAGTCCTTCTCTTCATTAAACGTTCCTTTTTAGAGGGGAATTGTGGAGTTGCCCCCACCCCCACACTCCCTGCACTAGCATGATTTCTCAAGGGCTTCCTTCTTGGAGATACCAAGCCAGCATCTTCAGAAAGCAGCTGCAGGTTGGACCATTTGCAAAAGATTTATGGCAGAACCCTACAATCCAAGTTGATGGAGGGACACAGAGACCACCACCGCTACCCCTACCCCACCCCACCCATGAACTGTGAAGCTCAATTGGATGGAAGCTGAAGACCCCCACAGACATCTCTGATAATAGTTCAACCACCAACTGCTTTCTGAAGATGCTGGCTTGGTCTCTTGGGGTGTCCCTCAAGAGATACGTGGTAGAATGACACAATCCAACTTCACGGAGGGACACAAGACCACCCCAATCCATAAATCAACCATGAAACCTGATTGGATGGAAGCTGAGGGCCCTCCCGCTATGAAGAGGGGGAAAGATTTGGGGTTCAAAGGGGAGTGGGTTAATATTTCACAGCAACTCTCCCACGGGCAGCTCCAGGGAGAAATTCAGGAATTACTGTTAGACTAGAAAAACTCAGTCATGCTTGCTAAGGTTGAGAAAAGAAAACAATGGGTCAAGTGGCGGATGGGGTCAAGGAGAAGACTGGAATGTCCTTGGAAGCTGTACGAGTTTTTCCTGGGGACAGATCAAGGTAGTCCATGCCATCCCTAGGAACCCAACCCAACTCTGAGGACACCTCCTTGCCTCCCTGATTCGTCCATGTTGGGTGGTCAGGATGACTCTACTGGAAGAACAGAAGTTGGAAGGGACCTTGGAGGTCTTCTAGTCCAGACTAGTGGGAGGACAAGCCAAGAACCCGTCTTGATGCCTTTCAGCTCTTGGAGAAACATCTCGGAGGACGTGGCCTTGTAAAACATCTCAGATCCATCCCATTTAGTGACAACGCTTGGCAGGAGGATCCTTCTGTGGTTCAGAGCCCGGCCTTGGCAGCTCCACCCCACACAGGGAGCCCCGGTGCGGTTACATCCATGGGAGGCAACCACAGGAATGCGAGGCTGCCATCCCACTCTCGGCCCTGGGTATCAACTATCAGGCTTCAGCTGGAGACACTCGATCCCGGTGGCTCTTCCAGGGAACAGTAACTGGAGAGGCCATAAAATATTCACTCCGATGGGAGACTAGCAAGCACAGCAAATAACCAATTACTCCAAATAGTTTACAGATTTCGGCTTGCCTGATTTCTGGCTCAAGTTTCTCGCGCTAACTTGTTGCTTAATGGCTTATTTGTGTTAGAGACAGCAGAAGGTTCTGGCAGGAGCCGCCACGCAAAAGCCCTGGAATCCTCCACGCAGGGAAAGGCCTCCTCCAAAGTCTTCTCACTCGAACGGTTCTCCCTCCTCACTTCCAATTCCCCCCCCCAGTTCATTGAGAAAGGTGTTCGGCTTGGAAGAATTGGGGGGGGTTTCTGAAGAGAGCTTCAGGTCTCAAAACAAACCAGGTCTATGAAGCCAGCCCCGACCGGTTGAAACCACACTGTCCCCTAAATCATGGTTTGCAAATGTTAGTAGTCGCATTCACACAATGTACCAAGCCAAAACCCAACCAAACATCTCATCCAGTGGTGGGTTTCAAAATTTTTTACTATTGGTTCTGTGGGCGTGGCTTGGTGGGCGTGGCAGGGGAAGGATACTGTAAAATCTCCATTCCCTCCTCACCCCAGGGGAAGGTTACAGCAAAATCCTCCTGATCAGCTGGGACTCGGGAGGCAGAGAATAGATGGAGGCGGGGCCAGTCAGAATTTTTACTACCGGTTCTCCGAACTACTCAAAATTTCCGCTACCGGTTCTCCAGAACTGGTCAGAACCTGCTGAAACCCACCTCTGATCTCATCCATAAAGTGATAGGAAGTCTTATCGACAAATCCCACTTATGAATTTAACTGGGGGATCCCTTCACCACTGGAACATCCCATAACACCTCTGGAATACCCCATCACACACACAGGCAAGGCACGATATATAAACGAGGGCAAACCCCACTCCTTCTAGCACTGATGATGTTACCTACTTGGGTCATGAAACATCTGCAAGAAAACCACCAAGCTGAGAGAGCACCAAGGACCCCACAGTCCTCCTCCTCCTCCTCCTCCTTCTTCTTCCTCCTCCTCCCTCCTCCCTCTTCCCTCCTTCCTCCTCCTCCTCTCCCTCCAACCTTCTAACTCTGATAACATCACCTACTTGGGTCATGAAATGTCTGCAAGAAAACTACCAAGTTCAGAGAGCACCAAGGATCCCACAGTTCAACCCTGAGCTGCAAATATTTTTCCTCTTTTGTCTTCCTCTTATTTTACTTTCATTGAGATTGTTTTGATTTTCAAGCTGAGTTCTTTTCCATGGTTGGCTAACCAAGAGGAATCTCTGCGTTTCTCCAGCCGTTGGCGTTTCCACCTTCTCCTCGGTCACCCCTTCCAATTCTGCCATTCTGACAGGCAATCTTGACATCTGGCTACAGCAAGCACGGCTTGTCCTGGCTGCTTCTCAACCCCTGGAGCCCTGGAGCCTGTTCTGTCTTCCCGTCAGCCGTCAGAGCTAAGAAACGCTCCGTGGCTTGGTTGCGTCTTCCTACTACCTGGCCCCCAACTACCTGGCCTTCCTCTTAGCAGGGGTCCAGGGGGCCATTCGTACGCGCACAAAAGGCACCTCCACACACACAGTCTGTGGAGCTTCTCCACCATCCAAGTCTCCTGGTTGTCCCAAAGGTGCTTTTCTTAAAGGAAACTGGACTTTCTTGGTTGTTTTCCTTGAAAAGGTTTCGCTTCTCATCCAGGAAGCTTCTCCAGCTCTAACTGAAGTTCTAACTCTAATGAGATAGAACTGAAGAAGCCTCTTGGATGAGAAGCGAAACTTTTTCAAGGAAAAAAAGAAAGAAAGTCCATTTGACTCCTGGGACAGCTCCCACAGGTGTCCATACCTGCCAGCACCCCAGTTAGAGACTCCTTAACCTACGAGGCAGCCCTTAGTACTCCCCTACCAATGTCTGTTGTGTATCACACCTGTTCTCCAGAAACTCAAAGGGCCTTGCATGGGGAGAATATCCCTCTCTTTTGTCCCACAATCCTTACAATTCTGCTTAAGACAGAAGGATTGGCTCAAAGTCACTCCCTGGGTCCTCTTCCTGTGCCTTCATCCCTCAGTCACACTGGCCCTCCGTTACTGCACAGGTAGTCCCCGACTTGCAACAGTTCCTTTACTGACCATTCAAAGTCACAATGGCACTGGAAAAGGTGACTGACGACTGTTTTTCACCCTTAGGACCATGTCGTGTGATCAAAATTCAGACACTTGGCTACTAATTCATGTTTATGACGGTTGTGGTGTCCTGGGGTCACGTGATCCCCTTTTACGACCTTCCAACAAGCAAAGTCAATGGGGAAGCCAGATTCACTTAACAACCAGGTTACTAACTCATCAACTGCAGTGATTCACTTAACAGCTGTGGCAAAAAAGGTCGTAAAATGGGACAAAACTCACTTAACAAACATCTCACAGAACTTCTGAGCTCAACTGCGGTCGTACGTCGAGGACTATCTGTAGACAACAAGCGCAAGGCCTGGGTTACTCTCCCTGTGGGTGAGGCCACCAAAGGCTCAGCTCCACGGAGCAAGGCCCTCAGATGCTCTCCTCAGCACAGAACAGAGACTCCTAGGGCTGGAAGCAGAGGGGCTATTCAGCTGGTTTCCACCGGTTTGCTCGAACCGTTGGCAGAAATTTGGCCAAGGTCGCCGAACTGGTAGCGATGGCCGGTTGGCTACGCCCCCGAACCCGCTCCCGGTCGCTCGCCCCACTTGCCATGTTCATCGCCGCCATGTTCTTCGCGCACGCACATCCCATTGCCTTGCAAGTCCAACGGGGTGCGCATGCGTGAAGAACATGGCGGCTACGGCAGCAGTTTTTTCCGCGACCTCCAGTAATTTTTCGTGGTCTGTGGGCAGCTGCCACTTCTTTGCCAGCCACTTTCCAGCAGCAGCGGCTGGCTGGGGGCCACCGAAAACTCTGGTCAGCTTGCCTTCCGGACTCTGGACCAGCCACCGTGGAAGGTAAGCAGCCTGAACAAAGAGGGGGGGGGGGGAGGAGGCGGGGGCCGCCAAGGGAGGGGAATTGGAGGTGACTGGTGAAGGGAGGGCGGGAGTAGATAGGTGGATAGGTTCCAAAAATTTTCCTACCTTTTCCTGTGGGCGTAGCTAGGTGGGGGGGTCATGTGACTGAGTGGGCGTCAGTCACATGACCTAGCCACACCCACTGAACCAGTAGCAAAATTTTTTGAAACCCACCACTGGCTGGAAGGGACCTCAGAGGTCTTCTAGTCCAACCCCCTGCCCAAGGCAAGAGGTACCTCATGCCATCTGGGACCAACGGTTGCCCGATCTCTTCTTGAAAAGAGATGGAGCTTCCATAACTGCAGGAGAGAAACTGCAATGCAATTCGTCAAGGCCGCCTGACCAACCCCAGGCTCCCATTGTGAGCCATGCACCCGACCCTAAACATTTCACCGAAATCCTCCCCTGTGGCAGCTGTCGGCCTCCCTCTGCCACCCGCAGCCGGCAGCTCTGCTTCCGCTCCGCAAAAACCCCTTTGCAAAAAAAAACCTTCTCGGTTGCAAGCTGAGCATCCGTTCCTGCCCTGTCAGCAGCTCCTGAGCTTGATTGTGTTTAATGACATTTGTGCGAAAGTCCCTCACAAAAGCTGTGAGCGAGGTCACTGCTGACTGCAGAGCCTCCTGCCCTCCAAATGAAGGGCTGGCCACTTTGCTGCGGGGAGTTGGCGACTATTTAATTCGGCTAAACGGAAACAGGTTTCCTGGGATAAAAGGCAGGAAGGAGGTAGCTGAGCAAGGGTGGCTGCTGTCTGCAACCGAGGCTCAGAGCAGGTGAGACTGCACCTCACCTCAAGCTATCATGTCACTGGGGGCGGGGGGGCAAGATAGCAGCCTTCCAATATCTGAGGGGCTGCCACAGAGAAGAGGGGGGGGAACCTATCCTGCAAAGCACCAGAAGGCAGGAGAAGAAGCAACGGGTGGAAACTAATCGAAGAGAGAAGCAACCTGCAATGAAGGAGAAACTTCCTGATAGTGAGGACAATCAATCAGTGGAACAGCTGGCCTACCACCAGAAGTTGTGGGTGCTTCAACACTGGAGGTTTTTAAGAGACTGGACAACCGTTTGTCTGAAATGGCCTAGGGCTTTCTGCTTCACCAGGGGGTTGGACTAGATGACCTCGGAGGTCCCTTTCGGCCCTACGATTCTATAAGGCAGGAGAAAGAGAAGGAAGGAAGGAAGGAAGGAAGGAAGGAAGGAAGGAAGGAAGGAAGGAAGGAAGGAAGGAAGGAAGGAAGGAAGGAAGGAAGGAAGGAGGTCAACCTATTCTCCAAAGCGCCAGAAGGCAGGACAAGAAACAATGGATGGAAACTGAACAAGGAGAGAAGCAACCTAAGGAGGAATTTCCTGACAGGGAGAACAATCAACCAGTGGAACAGCTTGCCACCAGACGTGGTGGGCGCTCCATCACTGGAGGCTTTTAAGAAGAGACTGGGCAGCCACCTGTCTGAAAAGAGAGAGGGTTTGGAGAAGACCTCCAAGGCAGGGGCGGGTTTCAAAACCCATCGCTACCAGTTTGCTTGTGGGCACGTGGGCGTGACACTTCTGTGCATGCGCAGAAGCATCTGGCGGGTGGGGGGAGCCTCCCACTGCTACCAGTTTGCCCAATTTGGGGTGAACTGGTAGCAAACACCCCCCCGCTCCAAGGTCCCTTCCAGCTCCATGCGCATGGAGATTTCTGCAAATCTCGTGACTTCACGCTTCAGATCATCAGCCGTGCTTCCCTTAGGCTCCCCTCCTGCACCTACAGGTCATCCTCCACTTACAATCACAATAGACCCCCCCCCAAATTTCTGTTGCTAAGTGTAACATGGTTGTTAAAGTGAATTTTGCCACATTCTGTGACCTTTCTGGCCACAGTTGTTAAGTGAACTACCGCAGCAGTTAAGTCAATAACCCGGTCGTTAAGTGAGAAGGTCATCAGAAGGTCACCAAAGGGGATCACGTGACCCCTGGGGACACTGCAACCGTCGTAAATATGAGTCAGTTGCCAAGGGTTCAGATTTTGATGGTGTGACTCCAGGGATGCCACAACGGTCATAAGTCTGAAAAATGACCCCAAGTCTCTTTTTTTCAGTGCCGTTGTAACTTGGAAGAGTCCCTAAATGAAGGGAGGTCAGTCAGGGTCTTCCTGTCTCAGTTGTCCCTTCTGGAAGGCAGCGGTTCTGCGATGCACTGGGGCTCCTGCAGATGTGGAGGAAACTCCTGGGACGAGAGGCTCTGCCTTCCCCCAAAACCTCCCACTGGGGGCTCTGGACGTTAAGGAAAAGGACCCTCCTCTGACCCCGAAACACCTGAACTGGGACACCCAGAGCTTTCTGCCTTTCCGCCATTTTCCATCGAAGCTGGGAGAGATTTGACAGTTGCAAATGTAAATGTGGCCTTTCTCCTCCTGCAGATGAGCTTGGGAGGCCAAAGTCAGGCCAACAAACAGAGGAACTGGGGGTGAGATAGGAAGCCATACATACATGGAGATGGGGCCGAGCGGTTTGCGTGTTAATTAAAGCCGAGCTGGTCATGCCCTCCGCAAGCTACAAATTAAAATGTTGGATTAGTGAGGGGTTAGGAAAAACGCAAGTCAAAAATACAATCGCACAAGCAATATTTTTCATCCTGAAACAAACACAATCTTCGTTTCTTCTCTAACAGCATAAAAGAAAACCTCTCTGGCATTTCAACAGGTAGAAGGTCATATCCAGCTGCAGGAGGCCAAACACCCAGAATTTTTAAAATATTGCTATCTAGCAAGGATGGCCAAAGCACCAGAAGGCAGGAGAAGAAGAAGCAACGGATGGAAACTAACCAAGGAGAGAAGCAACCTGGAATTAAGGAGAAACTTCCTAACAGTGAGGACAATTAACCAGTGGGACAGCTTGCCACCAGAAATCGTGGGCGCTCCATCACCGGAGATTTTTAAGAAGGGGACTAAACAGTCACCTGTCTGAAATGGCATAGGTTCTCCTGCTTGAGCAGGGGGCTGGACTAGAAGACCTCCAAGGCCCCTTCGAGCTCTATTCTATTCTAAATCTTCTTCCATGCTACACCTGGTGGCCAAAGGTGCCAGGTAGCCGCTGGAAGAAACCCAGAGCTGCACCAGGAGGCCCTCAAAGAAGCCGGGGAGAAACATGGGCTCATCCCTGGCGGTTTACGGTCCACCATGTAAAGCAGGTTTCTCCAGCCTCCCTGTCTCTCCGGCTACCGCGTGAATCTGACAACGCCGGCTGGAAAATTCAGGGAGTTGCAACTGAGAAACTCCTGCAGGCAAGGAAAGGCTGAACGGAGGTCACAGGAAACCGAGGATGCAAAATGAAGGATGATCAAGCAGGGACATCCTGTGTAACAGAAGCTCTCAGGATCTCCCTGTGCAACCTCGGCTTTGACCGAGATCAGATTTAGGGCCGCCTGCCGCCAAGGCAAACAACAGACAGGATTATCCAATTACAGCCTCCAACTCGTTCAATTATCCAATTATCATAATGATCAATTATTACGTTGACTGAACGGTCCCACCTCAAGAATGCTCACGAAGGGCTCCGCTTCGGCTCCAGGGGAAGTATCAGGTGGACGGGAGCATTGATTTCTACATATTTTCGTCAGCGGGGAGGGAGTCCGGCAGACACGGATTAAGTTTGCAGATGACACAGAACTGGGGAGAGGGGGGTTGTTTGGGGGGGGGGCTAATACTTTAGAGGGAAACGGGAAAGTCAGAGCAAGCAAGAAAGGCTGGAGCACCCAGCCGAAATAGAATTAAACGCAGTAGAACGACGTAGAATCCTAGGGTTGGAAGGGGGACCTCAGAGGTCTTCTAGTCCAACCCCCTGCCCAAGACAGGAGACTCAAACCATTCTGGGCAAAACGGTTGTCCAATGCGATGGAGCACCCACAACTAAAGAAAGAAATACGGGTAACCCTTAACGTACGTCCACGGCTGAACCCAAAAATTCCGTTGCTAAGCGAGACAGTTGTTCAGTGAGTCGGACAGTTGTCCAATTTTACAACCTTTATTGCCACAGTTGAATCACTGCAGTTGTTAAGGGAATTTACACGTGACCATGGGGATGCTGCAACGGTTGTAAGTGCGGAAAACCGGACATCAGTCCCTTTTTTTCAGTGCCATTGTAACTTTCAACGGTCACTAAATGACCTGTTGTAAGTCGAGGACCACCTGTAAACGGGATGTAATTTGACACAAAAATGTAAAACGTCAGGAAAACAAAAAGCAAAATGCAGGATGTGGAAGCCTGCAAGGAAACTACCGGTGGTCCTTGACTTACAACCGACCACTTAATGACCATTCGAAGTTGCAATGGGCCTACCTGGGGGCTACTCAGGATGTGGTTTCAAAGATCCAGTATCTCCCCCCTGTGGTCACATGACCATCCTGCAGGCAGGCTCTCAGCGACATAACCGCATTTTGGGCCATTTGCAGCATCCCTCGGTCCTCGTTTTATGACATTTTTGCTGAAAACCAACCCTTGCTTTCCCTTTTCAGCAAAACTGCCCCTTGCAAAGGATGGATCCACTTAATGACCATCAAATTTGCTTAACAACCGAGCGGGCTGCTTTACAACCGACTGGTTTGCTTAATGACCACTGCGAAAAAGGTTGTGAAATCAAGCTGGTCATGTTACTGACCCATTTTGACCTTGATGGGCAGTTTCCATTATGGTCATAACTTGAGGACTCCCTGTTAGCGCCGTCTCAAAAGAAGTAAGATTTAGGTAGATGTCAGGAGAAACCTCCAGGCTGAATGCACTTTCAGCCGATGGAACAGACTGCCACTTGAAATATAAGTTCTCCTTCACTGAAGGTTTTGGAAGAGAGGTTGGATGATCGTCTATCAAAGATGTTCCTGTGCTTTGCTGCTGTGCATAAGAGTTGGGCTGGATGATCTCTATGGGGCCTTCCGAGCTATGATTCTTATAGGGAAGAAAGAACTGAACTGCATTCTGTGTAGTGGCTGCAAACATCTCAACTTTTTCATTACATTTTGGCCTCCAGGACTCTGGACTTTTCTGAAGTTCGGTGGAGTCTGTCCTGCACAGACATGCATAACAGAAGAACAGAGTTGGAAGGGACCTTGAAGGTCTTCTAGTCCAGCCCCCTGCTCAAACAGGAGACCCTCTACCATTTCAGACAAGGGGCTGTCCAGTCTCTTCTTAAAAGCCTCCACTGATGAAGCACCCACAACATCTGGTGGCAGGTTGTTCCACTGGTTAATTGTCCTCACTGTCAGGAAATTTCTCCTTAGTTCCAGGTTGCTTCTCTCCTTGATTGGTTTCCATCCCTTGCTTCTTGTCCTGCCTTCAAGTACTTTGGAGAATAGGTTGGCCCCCCTCTTCTTTGTGGCACCCCTTAAATACTGGAAGACTGCTATCAGGTCCCCCCTTCACTAAACTAGACATACCCAATTCCTGCATCTCAAGACTCTTTCCCTCCTTGACCTCAGCAGCTGTCAATTCTGCACCTGCTTATATCGTCACCAAGATGCAGCCCCAATCCGCCTGAAAGGAGTTCTCCCCACAGGTAGTTGCAAAAACAAACCCACGTTAGCCTTGAAAGTTGTTCCTTGATGCTGTTTTCCATATGAAGTTTTCCTAGCACCTGAGCCGGCTTACCTGGATGGAGATGAGGGGTTCTTTGTCATCAATGTCAATCAGAACATCATCCTTTGGGGTGAGGCTCATGTCATCTGTAACAAACGAAGGGGAAGAAACATGGCTTCAGTTTTTGGAGTTGACTGTTTTTGCTTCCATCGATTTGTCTTTCAAACCATCCCTGTCACTCAACAGCTGCTTTATCAGTCTTCCAAAGAAATCTTTCAGACCAGTGTTTCTCAACCTTGGAAGCTTGAAGATGGGTGGACTTCAACTCCCAGAATCCCCCAGCCAGCAGCGTTGAAGTCCACCCATCTTCAAGCTTTCAAGGTTGAGAAACACTGTTTCAGACCAAGAAGATGGAACAGGGACACTTTGGACACTGTGGTTTTGACACATTGTCTGGGAAGGTTCAAGGTATATTAAACTATCAAGCAGGCCACATGCGAAGTCTTCTCCAATCCATCATTGTTCTGGATGTTGTATTCAATAACATCTGGAGGGGGGCGTGTTGGAGAAGAAGGACAGACACCATAAAACCAACCCCGAACCAACAACCCCACAGATAGGTGACCATGGATAATCAGACCTTCAGGAAGTCACCATAATGAAGGGACTTCAGCGGCCCACAGGTTAGTCAAACCTTCAGATGATACTCAAGAACAGGGTTCTCCAAACTTGGCCACTTTGAGACCTGTGGACTTCAACTCCCAGAATTCCCCAGCCAACATGGCTACTTTAAGACTTGTAGGTTTTAACTCCAGGAAGTTGAAGTCCACAAGTCTTAAAGTAGCCAAGTTGACTGTGGAATTCTGGGAGTTGAAGTCCACGGGTCTTAAAGTGGCCAAGGTTGGAGAACCCTACTCAAGAGCAAGGCTTCCTTTGCTCATATCACATATCATCTACTGGTTCCAGGAAAGCCACCCATTTTTAGGATCCCCCAAAGATCTTCCACCCCTCCTGACCTGCGTGGGTTTCAGGAAATACCGCATCTTCTTTGTAGGGGTCACAGAAGAATTCTTGCAGGGATCGGATGGTGCACTGGCCCACCACAGGTTTGCGGCCAAAGGGCCTGTTGTCGATGACTTTGATGATGATGGGAGGACAGTAGAGGTCTTCCCTTGGCAGACGCTGGGAGAAGAACAAGCCCAGTTGGCCCCCCCAGGGCAGAGAGTGAAAAGAAGGGACAATATATATTCAATATATTTAATATTACGTGTCTTGACGGCAGCAAAAATTGTAATATGCCCAACACTGGAAAAACGAGGCACCACCCATAGAAGAAGATGTAATTTAAAAAAATATGAGATTGTGCAGAAATTGATAGGCTGACATTAAAGACAAAGAAGATACGGAATATTTTCAAACATGGGACTTATTTTATCAATGGTTGGACAATAGAAGTAGAAATTAGAAACTGGAAAAATACTATTAGGTATGTCTTATGCTTAATATATTACATACCATTATGTAAGCAAATTAACCCAGACAATACGCAGTTCATAAAGTACTTAAGGAAAATACATAAATAAACTGTTAAAAAAAAAAAGTAGACAATATTTATTCAGGTAACAGTGGAAGGGTAAATATAATTTCCTTTTGTCACAAGAAACATACGAGACAATGAAGCTGCCTCACCACTTCCATGAAGAGGACGGAGATCTCAAAGTTGGGATTCTTCTTCAGGTTCTTGATCACAGTTGACTGGACGATCTGCCCACCACACTCCACCAGAAGGCTGGGAGAAGTCACACTGGCCAACTGGTAGCTCTTCAGGTTTCGAAGGCCCCAGGCCAACACCTGCACCAAAGAGCCACAGAGAGGCCAACCGGCTAGTTAAGAACCGAAACGGACCATGGAGGAACCAACGCAATCTTGATGTGGACAACTCAGCTAGTCTTGTGGTTTGTGTTGGGTGTGGGTTGTGGTGGAAGCACTGGACATTTCTGTTTTCCAGAGAGGAGGAGGAAGTTGTCGCTTAACGACTGTTACAAAAAAGGAAGTAAAATGAGGAATGATCACATGGTGAACCTCTTAAAGGCTGCCACAATTTATAACCGTAATTCCGGGCTCAAATTATAGTCGTATCTTGAGGACAACTTGCATAGGATTATCACATTGGATGGTGTTGTTTTAATCCTAGTGAAAAACATTTTATTATATGTGTTTTGTGAGCCAGTGGTGATACAAAATGACTAGACATAATTAATACTTAATTTGCAGAACAGCATCCTCACGGCTTTTACAAAAATGGGCAATTCTACGTTAGCTAAAATGTTTAAAAATTGTTTAGCAAATGTTGGAAATGTAAACAAAAAACTGGCACAGATTACTATATGTGGTGGACCTGTGTTAAAGCAAAAAAAAAAAATGGGCAAAAATAGAAAAGCTGATAGGAAAATATGTAGATTTTAAACCTGAACTTTTTCTATTAGGTATAGCACCAGAAAAAATTTGATAAGAAAAGTATGTATTTAATATTACATGTCTTAACAGCAGCAAGGATTATATTTGCACAATATTGGAAAAATGAAGAAACACCGCGAGACGAAAAGATAATTAGGAAGATACTGGATTGTGCAGAAATGGACAGACTCACATTGATTAAAGAGTAAACAGAAAGAAGACACGGAATATTATCAAACATGGAACTTATTCTATCAGTGGTTGGAAAAAAGAGGTGGAGAGCACTAACAAAAGCACTAACAAAATGTAAACAATAGAAAATTAATAAAACTTTATTTTAAAAAATGGGCAGTTCTCTTTCCAAAATGTTTTGAGAGAGCCTCAAGGACCTCTGCACCCACCTCGATGGCCGTACGCTGGAGAACTGGCTTAATTCCTTGAGGGACCATGTAGATGTTGGGCTCCCTCTGGGGTGGAGGGTAAGGCAGGTCTGAATCTGCAGACTGGGAAGAGACATAAATTGGATCAATGCGTCTCTTTTAGGCGGTAAGAGAAACAGAAGTCCATCCTGCTGGTTCTTCCAACCAACCTAGAACTAAGGAGAAACTTCCTGACAGTGAGGACAATTAACCTGTGGAACTTCTTGCCTCCAGAAGTTGTGAATGCTCCAACACTGGAGGTTTTTAAGAAGGGATTGGAGAACCCTTTGTCCAGAATAGTAGAGGGTTTCCTGCCTGAGTAAGGGGTTGGACTAGAAGACCTCCAAGGTCCCTTCCAACTCTGTTATTCTATAATTCTGCTAACCTCTTCTCTAAAGCACCTGAAGGCAGGACAAGAAGCAACGGATGGAAACTAAGCAAGGAGAGAAACAACCTGGAATTAAAGAGAAACTTTATAACAGTGAGGACAATTAACCAGTGGAACAGCTTGCCACCAGAAATTGTGAATGCACTGGAGGTTTTTAGGAAGGGATCGGACAATCCTTTGTCCAGAACGGTCTCCTTCTTCAGCAGGAAGTCGGACTAGAAGACCTCCAAGGTCCCTTCCAGCTCTCTTATTCTGTTATTTTGTTATTCCTTCCTGTGACTTCACTCGCAGGCCAAAGGAAAGATGAGTCAAGTTGGTTAAATGGAAAGAGCTGTTCTTCAGAATCAGGCCCGGAGGTCAGACCTTGGTGGTCTCCAGATCTGAAGCAGAGCTGGGAGGGTTTTGCCATTCAGATGACCCCCCCACCCCCCAAGCCTTTGTTCCTTGCGTGTTACAACATTTCCCCCCCCCCCATTAATAGCGAAGTATCTGCTTCCATGAATCCATCTCCTGGGGGGGGGGGTTGAACCCCAAGGGCTGAATTGAAAGTTTAAAAAAGGCCTCTTGCTACCATTCCCGCCCTCTCCTCCCCCCCCCACCCCCACCCCCAGGACAACCTTGGGAAGTTGGAACCAGGAATGGCTCCATTCTCAGGAACTCAACTCAAACATGTTGGGGATAAACGCCTGTCCATCATCTGACAAAAATGTAAAAAAAAAGAATAAAAAAGAAAAAGAATAGACAAAAAAATAATACATTGATTACCGTAATTAAAAAGGAAACAAAAGCAACAAGATTGAAAAATAAAAAAATCAAAGGCCGCCAGGTGATTTTTCTGCCGTCCGTTTCCTACGTTCCTAACTCCCCTGCGAGGAAGGAGAGGAGAGGAGGCTGCCCAGGTTATTACCTGGCAATAAACGCAGTAAGCCCTCCACTTACAACAGCTCGCTTAGTGACCGTTTGAAGTTGCAACGGCACTGAAAAAAGTGACTTATGACCGTTTTTCACACTTAATGGCCGTTGCAGCATTCCCAGGGTCACATGATCAGAATTCGGATGCTTGGCCACGGACTCGTATTTATGACGGTCGCAGTGTCCTGCGGCCAGAAAGGTTGTCAAATGGGCCAAAATTCACTTAACAAATCTCTCAATGGCCATGTTTCACACTTACGACCATCGTAGCCTCTCTGGGGTCAGGGGATAAAAAATTCGGAGGCTTGGCAACTGGCACGTACTTATGACGGTTGGAGTGTCCCGGGGTCATGGGGTCCCCTTTTGCGACCTTCTGACAATGGGGAAGCCCAATTCACTTAACAACCGGGTTCTAATTTAACAACTACAGGGGTTCACTTAACGACGGTTATAAAATGGGGCAAAACTCACTTAACAACAGACATTCGGGGCTCCGTGGTGGCCATAAGTCAAGGATTAGCTGTATAAAATCCGCAGCCGTGGCATCGTGTCCTTAGCTGCCAAATTGGGGTGCTGAGTATCCGGACAGCCTCTGCACTCCCCCAGTGCCCAAAATTCCTGAAATTTTGAAGCGTCCCACCCCCCTTGCAAACTCGCCTGAGCTGCCTGCAGCGCCACCCAGCCGGCCCTCCCGTTGCGGCCCACGGGTTCTCGGAGAGCAAAAATCCCCAGGCTTCCCCATAAACCCGATCTGGGGGGGGAGGGAAAGTGGGGGGGCTTAGCCTCCAAAGGGAAGGAAACCCCTAAGGCGGCTCTTAACCAGGGGCAGTTGGAAGCAATTTCGGCTGCAGTCACTTTTTCCAGCCAAAAAGAATTATTGCATTAAATTAAGGAGGCATATACATTTCAAACATCAGATCGGGTCGTATTTATTTATAGATCCCGTGGATGTATATTTAATAAGGGCTACAGGGAGGCGGGCAGGGTGGGAGCCGGCCAACGCTGCTCGGGGCGGGGGGGGGGGGGGGGGAGGCTAATTTTCCCTGGCACTTGCCAGGAGCTGCCTAAACAAAACAGCTTGCTGTGCGTGATGGCATTGCCAACTCCGCTTGGGCGTAATTGGAACCCCACGCCCCTCCCCCCAGCCCCCATATGCAGCCCCACCCCCCACCGGCACCGCTTTGAAGATTTAAGGGAAGTATTGGGTGTCAGCCAAAAGGGGCGCCGTCCCCTAAAGCTCTCCATCCAATTTGCAGGGCCCCCCCACCCCAAAGCCAGACAAGAGCCTTGCAAGGAAGTTGCCGGAAGGCCCCCACGGCCCTTCTCCTTCTCTGCTGCACCCTGCCATGGGGACTGGGTGCTCTGGGAGTTGTAGTCCGCCATGTTTAGAGAGCGGTGGGTCAGTCCTTTCCCCCCCATCTCTGCAGGAAGCACCGGTGGGCAGGGAATCGCCCATCCAAGAAGAGGAGGTGACCGATCACCCTGCACCCTTCACACGCAACTTATTATAAAGGGGGGAGGCCCTTGCAAAGTATCCGGAAGTTTCTATCGATTCAAATGCGGCGGCCCAGGTGGTTTTGTGCAAGTCTAGAGTTGCACACTTATTTTGTGGGAGCTGCAGAGGCTGCCGATTTGCTTCCGGGTGCAATTCGAAGTGCTGGTTCTCCCCTTTAAAGCCCTACCTGGCCTGGGGCCAGATTACCTGAAGGACCTCCGTCTTTCCCCAATCGTATCTACCTGAGCCACAAGAGCAGGGAGCTCTGTCTGGTGGGACCAAGGAAAGGGGCCTTCTCCGTGGTGGCTCCCTCCCTGTGAAACATCATCCCCGGGGAGATGAGATGGGCTCCCACTTTCAAAAGACCTAAAGACCTGGTTCTGGGGACCCCAGGGGGATACGCACCCCATCAAGTTGTTGATCTGATTGTTGGCACCAATAATCGAGTTTAGTATTGGGGTTTTATTGATCTGGCCACCTGGAGTCCGCCAGAGTGAGTTGGAGGGCCCGATCAAATTCATTCATTCATTCATTCATTCATTCATTCATTCGTTCGTTCGTTCGTTCGTTCGTTCGTTCGTTTTGCTGCCCATCTCAGCAAATGACTCTGGGCAGCTCACAATTCAAATTTTATTAAATGTTACAATTAAAATGATTAATTTGTTATTCATTAACAAATAAAGTAATAAATAAATAAAGTGGCGATATCTTCTCCTGACAGTTGTTTGTTTTATATCCTGCCTTTGTTTTGGTTTTTTATAAATACTTCAAGGCGACAAACAAGGCGAAGAATCCTCCTCCCTCCTCCTATCCTTCCTACCACAACGCCCCTGCGAGGAGGACCGGCCTGAGGGAACCAGCCACCCTTCAATAATAGGTTGCATGAAAAAAACCTTTCAGGCTCAGTCCAAGTATTGGAGATAATGAGTTCTGCAAAACTCACTTATTATTTCATTAACCCAACTTTAGGGCAGGGCCCAGTGGGTGGAGCTGGGCAGAGGATGCTCTTGAGATGAAGCACCATCCGGAGATGGACTCGAGGGAAGGAGATGGGGCAGGAGCCTCTCTTGAGACACGAGAGTCACCTTGGAACAGGAGAGAGGGGTCTCCAAGCTTGGCAACTTTAAGACCTGCGTGGACTTCAACACCCAAAATTCCCTAGCCAGCATCCCCCCCCAAAATGCATGGCTGGCTGAGGAATTCTGGGAATTGAAGTCCACCCTGGTCTTAAAGTTGCCAAGCATAGAGACCCCTGGTGCAGACAATGGGATTGGAGATGTCTGGGGGGGCCAGGGGAAAAAGAGCTGTTTGCCCTACATGTAAGAAAGGGATAGACAAGATTCAATTGCACAATCACAGCCGCCATCTTGAATAGAATAGAGTAGAATAGAATGGAATGGAACGGAAGCTGGAAGGGACCTTGGAGGTCTTCTAGTCTAGCCAGTCAGTATTACTTGACCCTCCCTGGCAGACCCTCCCTTTGGATTTATATGGCTGACTGGGGAATTCTGGGAGTTGAAGTCCATGCCTCTTAAAATTGCCAAACTTGGGAACCCCTCCTTAACAGACCGCTGTGGCTCTGCCCCTAGTTAGCTACGTAGATGATTCCAGACCTCAGTTGATCGGCGTGAATGACAAAACAATCATTAACCTGTATGAGCAGGGAAGGAAGGAGCCATGCGGGGGATTAAGGCTCAGATTTGGTCTGGGACAAAGGAGGGAAGCTGGGGAGAAGCAGGACCTGAGGCCGGGCAAGAAGCAAGCAAGCAGGACCTTCCCTGTGATGTGGCTGCAGCACCCACCGCCCTCGCCTGCAGCTGCCCAGGGCTCTCTGGAAGAGGCCAGAGGTGGTGGAAGCAGCCCTTGGGGGTGGGGGGTTGCCTGAAAAGCCTGCTGGGAGGACATGAGGTGAGGGGGTCTCGGCTGCCTGTCTGCAGGGGGATTCCAGAGCTGCAACCCAGAGGGGGGATTGCCCAGGGGAAGAGGAGGGGAAGCGGGCAGGGATAAGGCTAAGTGGGCATGAGCAGCAGTTGCCAAAAGAGCCAGCTCTCTGGCTGCAGTGGGGAGGGGGCACTCAACGTTCACTGGCTGACAGACAAGCTGTGACTGTTATGGGGAAGACATGGAAACAGGGGGCCCTGAGGGATCAGACCAGGGGGCACCTGCTCTGAACCAGCTCCTCTGAAACACGAGGAGCGCCAGCAGCCCCAAATGCAGGCTAACAAGTCCGTCCATCCGGAAGATGAATAATTGTCTGTCCCATCTGTTCATCTCTGCCCCCTGCCTTTTATCCCCAGAGATAGGGTGGGGCCTCGCTAGCAGCAGTGGCTCTTCCGTCCCAAGGAGCAGCCCATAGATTTCCACTGCTCTCCTCTCCTCTGCCTTCTGCACATCCGCACATCAGGCACTGGACCCAGCTGTTCCTCCTCCTCCTCATCAGCCACCTCCAGACCTGGGGGCTGTTGACTCTCCATCTGAGGGCTGATGGACGGCCAAGGCTCCTCCTCCCTCTCTCTCTCTCTGCCAGCTCCCTTCCCTCTTCCCCCTCGGAGCTCTCGGGTTGCCTTGATGCTGACTCTGACTCCCATGCCTCCTCCTCCTCCTCCTCCTCCTCCGATTCGGCTGCTGAAGGGGCTGGCAACCAGCAGGCCACAACAACACCTGAGCCATCAGACGGTTTCAATGGTGACTTTTCTGCATTCAATACTCAATCAATAGGAGATTTGGGGGTAGCCATATAACCTTGCTTGTACTCCACAAGCTGAGATGATAGGGGGATGCCTTGGCTGAGGGAGGACCTCTTCCTGGGACCCCAAAATCCTTGCCCTCCAAGAATGGCACCCCAGGATTTTTTGGCGTGCTGCTTCAGCCCAAGAAGTTGCCAAGCAGAGAAGACCAGGGGGTGAGGGGGGGGTGTTGTAAGCAAAGTGAAGAGATACCCATTGCAGAAGCCCCTCGTGATAGAAGACAGGGGGGCACAGCTACAGCGCGGCAGTCCCGGGTGGCACCAGACAAGGAGAAAAGGAAGCAGAAAAGAGAGAAATGGTGAGCTCAGACACACAGCAGGGGGTGGACAATGCCCACTCCAATGAGGGGAAACCCAAAGGAAGCCAATTTCCCCCTTCCCCATCTTCTGGGGCCGGTGGAGAGATTTCTGCAAGTAGTACTCGACTTACAACGGTTTGTTTAGTGACCGTTCAAAGTGAGAACAACACTGAAAAAAGTGACTTATCCCCAGTTTTCACACTTACGACTGTTGCAGGATCCCCATAGTCACGTGATCAAAATTCAGATGCTTGGCAACTGATCGCAATATCCCGGGTCAAGTGGTCCCCTTTCTGACAAGCAGAGTCAATGGGGAAGCCAGGTACTAAGTCCACATTCTGGCCAGAAGGACTGCTGGTTTGAAAGAGGGGTCAAAGAGGCCATCTAGATTAAAATGGAGCATCCCTCTCTCAACCCTGGGGGAGGGATACGACACCCCCTCCCCATCTCCTGTTCACAACACAGCCCTTTCGGCAGTTCCAAGTGGGCTCCACGGCCATTTGCACCCTGATTCAGGGGACCCTGAGGTCCAAGGGGCCTCAAGGACTCTCAGAGAGAGGACTAACAACCAGAGGACTGCAAGGAATGTAAATCCTTCCATCCTCAACCATTTCAGTCAGAACTGAAGAAGGAGGGAGGGAGGGAGGGAGGGAGGGAAGAGGAGAAGGAGGAGGAGGAAAAGGACTGTGGGGTCCTTGGGGCTCTCTGAGCTCCATTGATTTCTTGCAGACGTTTCCTGACCCAACTAGGGAACATCATCAGTGCTAGAAGGGAGAAGGGTTTGTTCTCTGTTTATGTTTTGGGTTTAAGACATTCCTGAAGCAAACTGCATTTTCTGAAAGACTTTCTGTGGAGCTGGGCCTCCCCCGTCCCTTTCTTCCGCCACAAACAGCCCAGGGACCCCCTTCTCACCCACGGAGCTCACCTCATCCAGAACAGACGCCAGTTCCGTCTGCAGGGTGTCCCCATCCATCGCACGAGGGGGGAGAAGGCAGGGCAGGGAAGGCAGCATCCATGGAGAGAACAAACAGACAGAAACGCCACATTTTCAAAGCAAGGTCACCTCTCTAGAACGTACATCCCCCGCATTGAAATCAAGTCGGTGAATTAATACGCAGAAGGAAGCCATGAGGGAAATATTGTACAGGTTTTCTGGCTGACCTGGAGCCACTGTTCCTCCACCTTGACCGCTTGAAGATGGGAATTCCCCAGGGGAATTCTGGGAGTTGAAGTCCACCCATCTTCAAGCGGTCAAGGTGGAGGAACACTGTCCTGGCCACCAAGGCTCAAGAGTGCCAATGAATTATTTTTGAAAGCCAAGGGTCCAATCTCCTCTAACAAGCCTTGTGGGAAGAGGTTGACCATTGGAAGCCACTGACTTAACTGCCCCCCGTGTCTCCAGACCAATCTATAGGGCCATGGGAGAGGCCCACTTGAGCTGAGCATGGCTCTTCCTAAGACTTTGACTTCACGTAGTTTTCTCAACAACAATAAAGAAATGATGGCCATTGTCATCTCATGGTGGGTTGTTTTTTTTTAACTTTCCAGCCTAGCTTGTAGCTCTGGGACTTCCTGCTGGTTCCTTCTCAAGGACAAACCAGGTCTAACTCTGTTTAGCTTGGTTGACTTCAGGCAAGGTGGGCTAGGACCTGTTTCTGCTGTGGTTTGGCTAGACAGCCCAAAGACCTGGCCTACAGTCAGACTGAGGTACAGGCCTAAAATATTGGCCATAAAATAAGTCTAACAGAAACCCTCAAACAAAAGCTCCTTCTCTTCCCTGTGGGAAAACAAGTCCCGACTAGGAAGAACAAATGGGTCCCATCATCCACAGCTGCACCAAGACTCAGACTTTACTTTCCAAAAGGACCCAGTTGGCCTTCCCATTATGGGCATCCAGAAGGGAACCATGGGTGATGGGGAACAAATAGCCAAATGGGTGTTGTGACATCAGATTGCAAGCTGTACGCTAGTTTTTCTCAACTTATCAAATTTAAGATGTGTGGACTTCAATTCTCAGGAGTTGAAGTCCACACACCTTAAAGTTGATAAAGGTTGAGAAACGGTATTTCAAATTTCTCAACGTTACAATGTGTGGACTTCAACCCCCAGAGTTCCCCAGGCAGCATGGTTGGCTCGGGAATTCTGGGAGCTGAAGTCATCTTAAGGTTGAGAAACAAGATGGAGAAATCTGAAGGTGGTCTAACTTTTTGTACATGTATTGCTTTGTTGATGTGTGAGGGGCTGCCACAGAGAAGAGGGGGGCCAAATTATTCTCCAAAGCACCTGAAGGCAGGACAAGAAACAACGGATGGAAACCAATCAAGGAGAGAAGCAACCTGGAACTAAGGAGGAATTTCCTGACAGTGAGGACAATCAATCAGAGGAACAGCTTGTCACCAGAAGTTGTGAGTGCTCCATCCCTGGAGGTCTTCAAGAAAAGACTAGACAGCCATTTGTCCAGGATGATTAGGGTCTCCTGCTTGAGCAGTGGGGTGGACTAGAAGACCTCCAAGGTCCCTTCCAACTCTGTTGTTCTGTTATGTCACCATTTTGAGGAAAGCTCTGGATTCACAATCCTGCCCAGCTCAGTGATGACCCAAAACAGAAAATGTAGCTTCTATAGACAGTCTTACCTCAAAGCCTGGAATGTGATGGACAGCTGGCTGGAAAAAAAAACACAACAAATATCCAAGTTACAGCCTGGCTCTGAAAGGAATGAGAAAACTCTGGAATGGTAAGAGTGGAAGTCTGCACATCTTAAAGTTGAAAAGTTGAGAAACAGTGCTTGACACTTCTCAACGCTCTGGCGCTTCTCAGCTTTTAGATGCATGGACTTCAACTCCCAGAATTCCCCAGCCAGCACTTGACACTTCTCAACCTTGTCAACTTGCGTGATGGCCCAGGACAAAGTCTTGGACGCTTCAGAAATGCACAAATCCTGCCTCATGCAGGAAGAATGGCTTAGCATTCAACAAACATGGAATCCTGCATCCAGTTTTGGTCACCACATTACAAAAAAGATGTTGGGACTTTGGAAAAAGGGCAGAGAAGAGAAACTAAGAGGATTAAAGGTCTGGAGACTAAAACATGGGAAGAACGGTTGCAGGAACTGGGTTTGGCCAGTCTAGAGAAAACAAGGATTGGGAGGACAGGAGAGCAGTCTTCCAGTATTTGAGGGGCTGCCACAGAGAAGAAGAGGAGGTCAACTTATTCTCCAAAGCCCCTGAAGGCAGGACAAGAAGCAACGGATGGAAACTAATCAAGGAGAGAAGCAATTTGGAATTAAGGAGAAACTTCCTAACAGTGAAGACAATTAACCAGTGGAACGGCTTGCCACCAGAAGTTGTGGGTCCTCCATCACTGGAGGTTTTTAAGAAGAGACTGGATAGCCACCTGTCTGAAATGGTAGAGGGCTGTCCTGCTTGACCAGGGGGTTGGACTAGAAAACCTCCACGGTCCTTTTCAGCTCTATTCTGATTGATTGATTGATTGATTGATTGATATCACAAATCTTGCTTGCTCCCTTGTGCAATTCCACTAGAAAAGTGCTGCGTGAGAGAACAAGGCACTTTCAGGGAGCATCCGGGGGCAAACTGCCACAGTTCACAAGGCAAACCCCAAACTCCTTCAGTGCTTTCAGATGGTTGCATGTTGTAGGCACAGAGTTGTTGTCCCCCAGGGCTCAGGCCCGGTTCTGCCGTGCCCCCGTCCCCCCTGGCTCTGTCCCTGGGATGTCATCCTAAGCCCAGCCGCCAGCCATTTCCTTCCAACTTCAAAAGCCCCAGCCAGACACCCTCCTGGCCCTTGCCAACGTCAACCAGGCAGTGGGCCAGCTGGCAACTCTGCCTCCCTTTGGCCTTGCAAGGACTCCTCTACCTCATGGCCCATCCCTGGCCTTCCCAACGCAGAGACATGGCAGGATCTCCCTCGGCTGCTTCTTGGCAAGACCTCGGCCACACCGGTTGGCCTCAGCCCAAGATGTTTGGCTCCAGTCCAACCCAGGTCTGTCCCAAAGCAGGGGAGAAAAGAGACCGGAGGAGGGGAAAGTAGGACCATTGGCTAAGAATGTCCCTCACCCCCCTACCTCCACGGCCTCTGGGCCTTCAGCCTTTCTGACAAAGGAGGTCAGAAGGAGGAATGACAAAGAACTGGGGCAGTGGCCTCCTGGGAGGGGATGAGGGGGTTTGATGCCAACAAAGTCTCAGTGGGACAGTCACCATCCTGACAAAATGTAAGCTGTGGGTTGGGAGATTGCCAGGAAATCCCGGGGGGGGGAGGAGGAGGAGGAGGAGGAGGAGGAGGAGGAGGAGGAGGAGGAGGAAGAGAAGAAGAAGAAGAAGAAGAAGAAGAAGAAGAAGAAGAAGAAGAAGAAGAAGAAGAGAAGAAGAAGAAGAAGAAGAAGAAGAAGAAGAAGAAGAAGAAGAAGAAGAAGAAGATAAGAAGAAGAAGAAGAAGAAGAAGAAGAAGAAGAAGAAGAAGAAGAATGAGTGGGAGCTGGGGATGAGGAAGATGAAGAGATGAGAAAAAGGGAGGAGGTGCTGGGGACAAGGAAGATGAAGAAAAAAGGAGGAGGAGGAAGGAGGAAGAGAAGGAAGAAGAAGAGAAAGAAGAAGAGGAGGAAAATGGAGGAGGAGCAGGAAAGAGCAAACTGCTTCTGATGCCCAGAAACGACAGGAATGAACATCTCCAGGAGGTCTCCCGTCCTTCTCTTCCACCTTCTGCTCAGGGAAGGCCTGGGCTCTCGGCTGTGTGGTGACAGGGCTCAGCCCAGAAGCCCAAGGAAGCCCCCTCCCAAGCCCTGGCTGCAGGGTGGCCAAAGCACCCCTCCTAAGTCCAGGAGCGCCACCGTGTGGCCAGTCCCAGGCCTTGCACCCTTTCAAGACGGGCAGCCAGAATTCGCAGCCAGACGTTCGGACGCTCCCCGTGGAGGAGCAGTGGAGATCTCGCAGGAGAAGGAGGGTCCTCGCCCTCTGAGACCCCCCCTGACTTAGAAATCACTTTTGGGGGGTCTTGGCACCCTCGCCTTCACAGGCATGAATTTTAAAATTATTTTACGCCGGTGGCAATCCAAGAAGCACATGGGCTCCTCCGGGCTCTATTTTATGCATTAAAAATAGCTATTGTTAGCATCTGAGTATTGGAAACTATATTAATTAGGTAATTAATTATATTATTATTATTATTATATAATATAATATAAATTATAAAAATTAGGGCTCGTATGCAACATGCTGCTTAAAGAGAGGCACTGCCACTCCCTGCAATGTCATTTGCTTCCAGCTAGTCCTTGAGTTACAACCATAACGCAGCCTCCCTATCATGGTCTTAAGTCATGACATAAATCGGGCCGCCTATGTGACTGACTCAGTCTTACGACTTTTTTGCAGCAGTCGCTATACAAGTGCCACAGTCGTTAAGCAAACCAAGGGCTTCGCTCTAGGCCGGTTTTGCCAAACCCTTGGAAGCAAATGCCAGTTTTCAGTAAAAACCGTCGTAAGTAAAAACCGTCATAAAATGCGATCCGGTGGCTGCAGGAAGCTGTGACGGCCATAAATGTGGGTCAGTTGCTGTGGTCAGGTGACCACAGGGGAAGACAGTCGTCAGAACGCCTAATCCGGGTCATAAGTACCCTCAGGGACGTCCGTCGTAACTTTGAATGGTTGCTAAGTGGGCAGTCATAAATTGAGAACTACTTGAAAGGATGTCAGGATAGGTGTGAGGGCATCATGGCTTCACCCATCCTCCCACCTCTTCCATCTCCTTGGAAGCAGAATCCCTCCTTGGCTGAGCTGCATCTGACCTCCCTTCAGCCTTCAGGTCTCCTGCTCCCCTGCTTGCTTCCCCCAGGAGACCCCCTCCCCAGGCCCCCAACTCACCTTCTCTCTCTGGATCAGCTCAAAGGCGGCCAGCAGCTCCCCCGCCGTCCGGCCGCCCTTCACGATGGGATACCAGGACAATCTTGGTGTGTGGTCGAGGGTCGGCTTGCAAACGCTGCGGCCCAGGAATTCATCCGCACCCTGGTCAGAGGGAGGGAGGGAGGGAGGGGGGGGGATTTTGAGATTGTTCTTAATCCTCTGTCATTTTAATCTGGGTTTTTTATATAGATTTGCAATTGTTTTTATATCTATATGTTTTTATTACGTTGTAAGCCTCCCAGACCTGCCTAGAATTATGAAATGATGGCAGAAAAAATTAATAAAGGGAGAAAGAGAAAGAGAAAAAGGAAGGAAGGAAGGAAGGAAGGAAGGAAGGAAGGAAGGAAGGAAGGAAGGAAGGAAGGAAGGAAGGAAAGAAAGAAAGAAAGAAAGAAAGAAAGAAAGAAAGAAAGAAAGAAAGAAAGAAAGAAAGAAAGAAAGAAAGAAAGAAAGAAAGAAAGAAAGAAAGAAAGAAAGAAATGTGGCTTCTAATTTTAATATTTCCATGCAGTCATACGGTAGAAGAAAAATTCTGCAGCTTAGGGTTGAACTGTGGGGTCCTTGTTACTCTCTGAGCTTGGTGGTTTTCTTGCAGACATTTCATGGTCCAAGTAGGTAACATTATCAGTGCTAGAAGGGAGTGGGGTTTATGGAGAGGAGGAGGAGGAGGAGGAATGTGAGGTCCTTGGTGCTCTCTGAGCTTCATGGTTTTCTTGCAAATATTTTATCACCCAAGTAGGTAACATTATCAATGCTAGAAGATGTACTAGAAGGCTGTTATGATTGATGCCGTTACCTAGTTGGGTCATGAGAAGTCTGCAAGAAACTACCTGTAGGTTGTGATATCATTAATGTCTTCTTTTTTTTTTTTGAACAAATTTTTTTTTATTGTTTTTAAAATTCAAACAAATCAAACAAATCACTTATCTAATTAAATCATTAATGTCTTCTTAATGCCCGCCCGCAATCTCTGTCCTGAAAAAGACTGAACGGAGAGTCTCCTGCTCGCCCAGGTGCTTCTTGCCCTTTGCACACTTACGTAAGTGTCGTGGTCGTAGATTTCAATCACAATGTTGGGAGGGGATTCAGCAATACTTTGGGGAGCCCCGAAGATCTCAATCTCGTAGAAGATCAACGTTTGGTCCCAGGTGGGGTTTAGCGTATTCTTTGCTACCACCGTCTTTTGGCTCTGGTGCAGGAAGGAGACGATGGCGTAAGGATCTGTGAAGGACAAGAGAAGGAGATGATGGGATGGTCCATCTTCCGTGGTGCCCAGGAACACGACTGAGAGGTATCTGCATCAGAGAAAGAGCCCTGAGCTTTTAGTATGGACAGACGGTCCTCAACTTACAAGACTGCCCCAAAGGTGCTTTTTTCAAGGGGCAGCTGGACTTTGAAGACGTTTCGCTTCTCCTCCAAGAAGCTTCTTCAGTTCCTTCCATTCCCACCATCCTGTCAGAGCTGAAGATGCTTCTTGGAGGAGAAGCGAAACATCTTCAAAGAAAACCCAGAAAGTCCAGCTGCCTCTTGAAAAAGCACCTTTGGGACAAACATGACCTGGATGACTGAGAAGCTCCATAGACATTCAACTTACAAGAGTTCATTTAGTGACCATTCAAAGTTACGACAGCACTGAAAAAACAGACTTTTGATTGTCTTCACAATCAAAACTGTTCCAGCATCCTTGTGGTCACATGATCAAAATTCAGATGCTGGAGGGCTGACTCACATGTAGCATCTTTTGTGACCTTCTGACAAGATAAGACTCCAAGCATTGTCCAAGAAGTTGGCAGAAGACTTGCCTAGCTTTGAAAGAAGCTTTGAACCACTGTTGAAGCAACATTTCTACATGCCTTTCCTTGCCTCCATCTCCACCACCTTCGGCCCCATAATCCTGCGCCTTGTCTGCTCCTCTTGAATCCCAAGCTACATCATCACCCCTGTTGCCTTCTTGGTGAGCCATGACCCACGTCCACTCACCCATATTCCTAGTGACGTCCTATGGAGACTCTCCGCCATCCAGATCAGGATTGTCCCAGAAGGCAACTGGATTTTCTTACGTTTTTTTTCTTGAAAACATTTCGCTTCTCATTCAAGAAGCTTCTTGAGTTCTTCACTGAAGAAGCTTCTTGGATGAGAAGTGAAACATTTTCAAAGAATAGAAGCAAGAAAATGCATTTGTCTTTTGGAAAATCACCTTTGGGCTATTCCTAGTCATATTATCATCACCAAGGAATGATGCCACATTTTGACTTTAACAGGAGAAATTCAGAGATGGTGCACATAGAACGAGGTGGCATTCTTGAGACAGCTATAAATTAAAAACAACACCTGAGTTTTAGGAACCCTCTGAGAATAAATGAATGTAGATCTCAGGTTTTCTCATTCTCTTGGAGGAAGCCACCTTCAAAGGATATCTTACCATTCTTGCTGATAGCAATACAATCACTCCTGCTTCTTCAGTCAATACCATCTTCAAAAATGAATCAATCATTATGAATTTGTGGACTTGGCAACCAAGGAGCCCAATGGAGACCTTGCTTCTCCTCCAGATCTAATCTCAAACGGTTTTAAAACCTCCTTCTGAGGCTGGGAGAAGCCAGAAGGCTTCCTGCCCATCTCTGATATGAAGAACGGTTGCAGGAATTGGCTATGCCTACTCTAGTGAAAAGAAGGACTAGAGGTGACATGATAGCAGTCTTCCAATAACTAAGAGACTGCCACAAAGAAGAGGGGTCAATTTATTTTCCAAAGCAGGACAAGAAATAATGGATGGAATCTAATCAAGGAGAGAAGCAACCTGGAGTTAAGGAGAAACTTCCTAATAGCTAGAACAATTAATCTGTGGACCACCACAGATTGCCACCAGAAGTTGTGGGTGCTCCATCACTGGAGGTTTTTAAGAGATTGGACAACTCTTTGTCTGAAATGGCAGACGGTCTCCTGCTTGAGCAGGGGTTGGACTAGAAGACCTCCCAAGGTCCCTTCCAATTCTGTTGTTCTGTTATTCTTTCTATGACCAGATGTATCCATCCATCAAGCCAAAAGGAAGTCCAGAGCAGTATAGGATCTCCTTCCAAGGTGTCTTCCAAGCCTGTTATTCTATGTTCTAGATGTCGCCTCCAGATCTCATCTCAAGGGCTTTTAAAACCCTCCTCTTGCTCTTGAGGCTGGGAGAAGCCAGAAGGCTGCCCGTTCTTTAATGCTGGGCCCTGAATGTGGCTCTTCTGCCCACCCCCAGCCTCCACAACGGCCTTTGTGGGCCTTCCCTCCTAATGCAGGCTTTGAACCACCGAGACCGATGTGATCAGTCCCAATCAGAATAGAGCTGGAAGGGACCTTGGAGGTCTTCTAGTCCAGCTCAAGCAGGACACCCTCCGCCATTCCAGACAGGTGGCTGTCCAGTCTCTTCTTGAAAACCTCCAGTGATGGAGCACGCCCAATTTCTAGAGGCAAGCAGTTCCCCTGGTTATTTGTTCTGACTGTCAGGAAGTTTCTCCTTAATTCCAGGTTGCTCCTCTCCTTGATGAGTTTCCATCCATGGTTTCTTGTCCTGCTTTGGAAAATAAATTGACCCCTCTTCTTTGTGGCAGCCCCCATAATACTGGAAGGCTGCTATCGTGTCACTCCCTAGTCCTTCTTTCCTCTAGACTGGCCAAACCCAAATCCTGCCACCGTTCTTCGTATGTTTTAGTCTCCAGGCCTTTAATCGTCCTAGTTTCTCTTCTCTGCCCTTTTTCCAAAGTCTCAGCCTCTTTTTTGTAACGTGGTGACCAAAACCGGATGCAAGTATTCCAGGTGTGGCCTTACTAAGGCTTTGTAGAGCAGTACTAAGCCTTCACGTGGTCTGTTCTGATGGAAAGAGGCATCTTAGCTATGTCTGAATGTGCTTTCTTCCGTCCTGGGTCAGAGGGAGACCGACTGTGCTGCCGTCCACCCAATTTACAAAACCCTTTCAAAAGACGCCTTTGTCTCCGCTTTGCATCCATACCAGGTTTCATTTTTATGACCCTGAAAAGGGCTCCTTTATGCTTTGTTCCACCAACAGCAAATCACAATTCCATCTTGTCTGCATCTGGGCCGGCTGTTGTCATTGGCTGCCATCCATGCAAAGAAAGTTACTCCCACTCGGTCCAGCCAATCAGGCAGGATGAGGTCATCCTTTTGGAGAGAGACTTTGAGTTCAAGGCAACAAACATGCTCAAAAACACACACACACACACACACACATGCAGGAGAAAGAAGAGATTTTCTGGGTGGAAAAGAGCAGATTTGGTGTAGGTGGTGATCGCTTGGTCCCTCTTTAGGAACCATGGACAGAATAGCTTTCTCCATCAAAGCCACCTCAGAACAAGAGGAACATCTGTGGGTCCATTCTGGAAGGGCAAAGGTTGGGGGCGAATGGCTGGCATACATGCCCTGCACCAGCCCCCCCACAGAGTTGCATGTTCCAGTGGAAAAGGGGGATTAGGTCAAAATTGTTGAAAAAGGAATAATGGCCTTTTCACCTCAACTAGACAAGTCATCTTGAAAGTCTCTGGTTCCACTCAAGTGTTTGGGAAGAATTTCCAAATTAGATCTGACGAAGGAGAAGATTTGTAGCTCAGGGTTGAAATGAGCTTGGTGGTTTTCTTGCAGACATTTCATGACCCAACTAGGTAACATCATCTGTGCTAAAAGGGAGGAGGAGGAGGAGGACTGTAGGGTCCTTGGTCTTCTCTAAGCTTGGTGATTTTCTTGCTGATGTTTTTTTATTTATTTATTTATATGCCGCCCTTCTCCGGAGACTCAGGGCGGCTTACAATGCGTTAAGCAATAGCCTTCATCCTTTTGTATATTTTTTTATACAAAGTCAGCTTATTGCCCCCACAATCTGGGTCCTCATTTTACCTACCTTTGAAAGGATGGAAGGCTGAGTCAACCTTGAGCCTTGGCGAGATTCGAACTTACAGTAATTGCAGGTAGCTGATGTTAATAACAGTGCTTTAGTCTGCTGCGCCACCAGGGCTCAACTAGGTAACATCTTACCTGAAAAACTGTCCTTATCCATGGCCAGCAGGTCCCTTGCCTGGTAGATGTAGCAACGTAGATGGTAGCGATTTCCATCTTTAAGGAGAGAAACACAACAACACATCAAAAGCTACAATACTGAACGGAACATCTTGCTTCAAAAGGAAGGGTCTAGAGCAGGAGTCTCCAAATTTGGCAACTTTTAAACTTCTGGACTTCAAGTCCCCGAATTCCTCAGCCAGCTATGCATATTGGGGGATGCTGGCTGGGGAATTCTGGGACTTGAAGTCCACAAGTCTTAAAGTTGCCACGTTTGGAGACCCCCAAGTGTCCCTTATCAATGTATGTTGTTGCTATTACTATTTTATAGTTTCAGTTTTCTTTCAATATCTCTGCGACCCACTCGGAATGTTCCAATTCTAAGGCAGATCAAAAATAATGAAATAAAACTTTCCCCACAATGTGACTAGAATGGAATGGAATGGAATGGAATGGAATGGAATAGAATAGAATAGAATAGAATAGAATAGAATAGAATAGAATAGAATAGAATAGAATAGGAATAGGAATAGGAATAGGAAAACTCAGCTGGAAGGGACCTTGGAGGTCTTCTAGTCCAACCCCCTGCTCAAGCAGGAAACCCTAAACCAGGGGTGTCAAATTTTATTTCATTGAGGGCTGCATTAGGGTGTGTTTGACCTTGGGGGGCTGGGGTGGGTGTGGCCAGCTCGATGTCACTTGTGTCGGGGGCGCTTGTGGTGGCCCGAGGGCTCTGCCAGCAAAAACGGCCTTCCAAGCTCCGTTTTGGGCTGCCACGGCCTCCTGCAACCCTCTGCCAGTGAAAACGGAGCTCGGGAGAGCCGCGTGAGGGTTGCAGGAGGCCATGGCAGCCCAAAACGGAGCTTGGGAGCCCATTTTCACTGGCAGAAGCACTGCAGGCCGGTCCTTTGCTGTTTCCAGGGTGGCCCTGCGGGCCAGATCTAAGTAGCCTGCATGCAGGATCCAGCCCCCGGGTCTTTGAGTTTGACACTCCTGCCCTAAACCATTTCAGACAAATGGTTGTCTGATCTCTTCTTAAAATCTTCCAGTGTTGGAGCATCCACAACTTCTGGAGGCAGGTTCTTCCCCTGATTAATCGTTGTGACTGTCAGGAAATTCCTCCTTAATTCCAGGTTGCTTCTCTCCTTGATTATTTTCCATCCGTTGTTTCTCCTCTTGCATTTTGGAGCTTTGGAGAATAGTGTGACACCCCCCCCCCCCACCCTCTCTGTGACAGCCCCTCAAGTATGGGAAGACTGCTTAGCGTGGCTTGGAACGTTTTCAGCATCCCTGCCTCCGAGTCTGTGCCCCTCTGACCCCCGGATTCCCTCTTTCTCCCCCCAGGGGAGACTTACAGTCAAAGATGCATGAAATGGTCGGTCGGTTCACTCCGAAGTTGAGAGTCGACACTGATTTCCCATCATCGCTCTTGTCGTCTGTCACTCCACCCTAAAGGAGAAGTCGGTTTCATTTTGCCATGGGGAGGGCATGCTGACCCCCCCCTCCACGCACGCACACACACAGACACAGACACACACACACACACACACATACTCACTTTTCTGCAGAAAGAGAGATTTTCAATGCACACTGTTTTTTAAATATTTTATCTCTATTTGTTTGCTTTTTGGTTGTCAATATATTTTTTTTGGAATTTGTACAGTTAGTCTTCAATAGGTGATCACAACCTGGCCCAAAATTTCTATTGCTAAGCGAAACATTGGTTAAGTGAGTTTTGCCCCATTTTTTCCCACCGTTGTAAAGCGAGTAACAGTAACTGAACTGTGGTGGTAAACCCAGGACTACCTTTATGTGGTAATTGATGGGGGCTGCAGTCCTGCCAGTAAGGAATGTTTTTTTTTTGGGGGGGGGATGAATGTTTATAAATGGACCTTCTACCATTTCAGAGTCCAGTGATGGAGCACCCACAACTTCTGGTGGCAGGCTGTTCCACTGGTTAATTGTTCTAATTGTCAGGAAGTTTCTCCTTAATTCCAGATTGCTTCTCTCCTTGATTCGTTTCCATCCAGGAAGAGGAGTTCTTGGTGCTCTCGGAGCTTGGTTGTTTCCTAACCACACTAGGTAACATCATCAGTGCAGGAAGGGAGGGGGGGTTTCAGAAAGGAGGGGGAGGAGGAGGGGGAGGACTGTGGGGTCCCTGGTGCTGTCTGAGCCTGGTTTCCTAACCAAACTAGGTTACACCTTCCGTCCTTGAAGGGTTTGCAAAGAGGAATTGAGGGGCCCTGGGTGCTCTCTGATCTTGGTGGTTTTCTTGCAGACGTTTCATGACGTAACCAGGTTACATCATCAGTGTCGGCTCCCTCATTTCCATCCTGAGCTGCAGACATTCCCCTTTGTTGGTTTCCAGGGTCTGAAGAAGTCATTAAAAGCAAAACCTCTGACCACCTCACAGGAGCATCTCGTGGTTAGGATTGGGGCCAGACCTTGCCCACAGCCAGATCCTCTGACAGTGCCAGGGATTTTGGGGGAGGGGGGCGAGGGGGGGTGTCCTGAAAAGGCCTTGAAGTTGAAGTGCCAGTCAGCCCCAGAGAGACGAGACGAGATGCTGAAGCGCAGAAAGAAGCCTGGTGGCCTCTCAAGGTGAGTAAGAAAATAGAGAGGTCTCCTTCTTGTTTTCTTTCCTTTTTAAGAAAACCACATGACTCAATGTTATATATTAACTTTGTTTTAAAACCTAGTCCAAATTGCTGGGCAGGGGAGGAGGAGGAGGAGACGACAAATTGTAGCATAAAAGAAAATTCGGAGGCAGGAGAAAGATATAATGAAGTCTTTGTGCTGGAGCCTGAAGATTATGAAATCCAATGTCTTCAAAAAAAAAAAAACCAGGATATTAGTTAAGAAAATAAATGGGGGAATGGGGAAGGGTTGGGGAGGGGGCCCTGTTCATCCCCCTCCTCCCAGCATAGGCTTGAATGCAGCCACATAAGAAAGGAAACAAGGCTGGCAAGTAGTTGGAATGAGACCATCTGAAACAGGCTGAGGGCAATACGTCAGAGTAACAGAATGAGGGAAGGGGCCTTGGAGGTCTTCTAGTCCAACCCCCCGCTCAGGCAGGAGATCCTATTCCATTCCAGACAAATGACTTCTTCAATTTCTTCTTCTAAACCTCCAGTCGTGAAGCACCCACAATTTCTGGTGGCAGGTTGTTCCACCGGTTAATTGTTTCTGAAAGTCAGGAAATTTCTCCTTCGCTCCTGGTTGCTTCTCTCCGTACTTAGTTTCCATCCTTCGCGTCTTGTCCTGCCTTCAGGGGCTTTGGAGAATAGGTGGACCCCCTCCTCTTCTCTGTGGGACATCCATTGAAGTCCACAAGTGTGAAGAGTTGGAGATGCCTGCCATGGAGCGTCACATCACCCAAGGCCAACTGGGTCTGAAGCCTTGAGCTGGGTCTGTGTTACCCTGATTGACATGAGCCATCAAAGCCGGCAGGATTTACATCCCACACGAAGCCATAAGCTCTGGTTTACAAAGTAAGAGGGTTGGCCGAGGAATACCAAGAGCCTTGGTAGTACAGTGGTTTAATGCACCCTGTTATTAACATCAGCTGTCTGCAATAGTAAGTTCGAATCTCACCAGGCTCAAGGTTGACTCAGCCTCCATCCTTTCTAAGGTAGGTGAAATGAGGACCCAGTTTGTGGGGGCAATAAGCTGACTTTGTATAAATATACAAAAGTATGAAGGCTATTGCTTAGCACTGTAAGCCGCCCTGAGTCTCCGGAGAATGGAGACATATAAATCAAATTTAAAAAAAAAAAATTCGGGGAGCTGAGGTCCCCAAGGCTTAAATTTGCCAAGGTTGCCAAACCCTTCAGGAACCTGAATTTTCTCCGTATTCTCAGAAATGGTGCCAATTTGTGTCAGGCGAAGGGGATGAGGGCCAGGGCTCCGGGTGTCCGGGATAACAAGAGGGTTTCCCATTTCTGCTGGTCAGAAGAACCGTCGTCTCCTCCCTGTGCTGGTCAACTCCACAGCTCCCCCATCAGAGAGTCCTTGATTTCACACGATTCCCTTAGCGACCATTCAAAGATACAACAGCGCTGGAAAAAGTGACTTGGGGCCATTTTTCACACTTACAACCGTTGCCACACACACACACCCGTTTGTCACGTGATGAAACATTCAGGCGTATGGCAGCTGCTTCATATTTATGACGGTCGCAGCCTTCCCAGGTCAGGTGATCCTCTTTTGCGACCTTCTGACAAGTCAAAAGTCAGTTTCAAAGGGGGAAAACCAGATTCCCTTAATACCCAGGATATAGAATTACAGAGATGGAAGGGACCTTGGAGGTCTTCTAGTCCAACCCCCTTCTCAGGCAGGAACTCCTATACCCGTGACAGCGAACCTATGGCACATGTGCCACAAGTGGCACGCGGTGCCATATCTGTGGGCACGTGAGCGTTGCCCTAGCTCAGCTTCAGGGTGCATGCGCATGTCAGCCAGCTGATTTTCAGGCCTTCTGGGCCCACCAGAAATCAGGAAGCGGGCCGTTTCCAGCCTCTGGAGAGCCTCATGGGGGTGGGGAAGGCCGTTTTCGCCCTCCCCAGACTCCAAGAAAGCCTCTGGAGCCTGGAGAGGGTGGAAAACGGGCCTATCGGGCCCATTTTTCACGTGCCAAAAGCAGGGGGTATGTGTGCATGCACTGGGGGGTAGGGGGCATTGAATTATGGGTGTGGGCATGCACGCACGTGACCCCCACACACACACTCCCCCTGCTTTTGGCACGCGACGGCAAAAAGGTTAGCCATCACTGCCCTATACCATTTCAAAGAAATAGTTGCAGTAACCGTGTTTGTAACTCCATGACTGCAGTGATTCACTTAACAACTGTGGCAAGAAAGGTCATAAAATGGGGCAAAACTCACTGAACAACTGCCTCGCTTAGCGATGGGAAACTTGGGCTCCATTGTGGTCATAAGCTGAGGACCAGCTGTACTTGGGGGAAAGGAAGGAGGGCCGGGAGAGGAGCAAGAGGCAGGACCTACCAAGGCGCCTTCCAAGGCAAAGGCAGCGGCTGGGCCCGTGTGCTCCAGGGGCTCCATGCGACGCCTCCAGCGCCGACGGCGAAAGGAATCCGTTTTGCGGTACTTCATGTGGAAGGTCCAGCCGAAGAGCGAGGCGTATTCCCAGCCTTCCCCTTCCAACTCCTCCTGTTTATACTGGAGGGAAGAGGATTTTCTTTCAGTGACAGGTAACCAAGACATCTGCTAGTGGAGAAGGCTTAATAGCAGAACAGAGCTGGAAGGGACTTTGGAGGTCTTCTAGTCCAGCCCCCTACTTAAGCAGGAGACCCTCGACCATTTCAGAACAAATGGCTGCCCAACCTCTTCTTAAAAACCTCCAGTGTTGGAGGACCCACAACTTCTGGCGGCAAGCTGTTCCATGGGTTCATTTTATTTTATTTTATATCAAATTTATATACCGCCCTTCTCCCTAAGGACTCAGGGCGGTGTACAGCCAAAGTAAAAACATAAACTACAAACATTAAAATACAATTAAAAAGATATATAAATATTTGGCCCCATAATTAAAAGCAGTAACAAAACAAGTAAAACATTTTAAAGAGTGTTAGGCCAGCCCGGCTTGCTGGAAAAAGAAAGTTTTAAGGGCACGGCGGAAGGCACCAAGGTCTTGGATTCTCCTTATCTCTGGGGGCAGCTGGTTCCAGAGGGGAAGTGCCCCCATTGTTCTCACTGTCAGAAAATTCCTCCTTAATTCCAGGTTGCTTCTCCCCTTGATTAGTTCCCATCCGTTGCTTCTTCTCCTGGTGCTTTGGAGAATAGCTTGACCCCCTCTTCTCTGTGGCAACCGCTGAGATATTGGAAGACTGCTATGACGTCTCCCCTGGTCCTTCTCTCCCAAACTTTTACAGAACAGAGAAAGATAGACAGGACCTTGGAGGTCTTCTAGTCCAACCGCTTGCTCAGGCGGGATCTGTGGTTCTCAACCTTTTCTTCATCACACACACCCTTTAGATACCTTTTGTGGTCACGGATCCCCAAGATCTAACTCAAGATTGAAATCATAACATTTCTTCAAGCTTTTGTGGAGCCCTGGGACAACCTCAAGGCATCTCCCCAGGGGTCTGCTGATCACAGGTTGAGAACCTCTGGTCAGTATCATTCCAGACAAACTCTAGTCCAATTTTTTTTCTTCAAAACCTCCAGGCATGGAGCACCCACAACCTCTGGAGGCAGGCAGTTCCATGGGTTAATTGTCCTCACTCTCATTTATGGAGATTTATTTATTTTTTATTTATTTAGGAAGAAATTTTTTAATTTTTTTAAATGTTTAATTGGTTTGTGGTTTTTTTAAATTTTTGGGCCAAATTTATATATATTTTAATTGTTTTTAATATTTGTATTTCATGTTTTTAATTCTGGCTGTGCACCGCCCTGAGTCCTCAGGGAGAAGGGCGGTATATAAATTGAAAATAAATAAATAAATAAATAAATAAATAAATAAATAAATAAATAAATAAATATTTTATTAGTCATATTTCTATGCCGCCCACTCTCTGAGGACTCTGGGCGGCTTACACCAAAGACAGTATACTAAATAGCGTATTGCCCCCTAACAATCTGGGTCCTCAATTTACCCACCTCGGAAGGATGGAAGGCTGAGTCAACCTTGAGCCGGTGAGATTTGATCCGCTGAACTAGCAGTCAGCTGAAGTAGCTGCAGTACTGCACCCTAACCACTGCGCCACCTCGGCTCTTAAAATGATTGTCCGTCATGCAGGTTATCCCAAAGGTGCTTTTTCCAGAAGGTAACCGGACTTTCGGGGGTTTTTCCTTCTCCTCTGAACTGAAGAAGCTTCTTGGATGAGAAGCGAAACTTTTTCAAGGGAAAAACAAAGTCCAGAGTTGCCTTTTGGAAAAGCCCCTTTGGGACAACCGTGACCCCCAGAGACATTCCCCCCAAGAGGAGGTTCCTGAATGCATCCTCAGCCCAACCCGTCTTAGGGCAAGGAAGACCCCAGGGCCACCAAAGGCATCTTGGACTCTGGCTTGGAGATCGGATGAAGGGAACATGGGAGAAAAACAACCCAGATTTAAGCCACAATTAGAGCATGTGAGCAAAATGCTTTCAGTCTTGCAATTAGATTTATTATTTTATTTTTATTTTATTATTTTATGGAATCCGACATTCCCGACATTCCCCTCATCCCTGATGCTATCTTGGCACCGGTGTCTTTTCGGTCTCATTCCTTAGGAACTCCAGGTGCATCTGCCTGTTTATAGGCTGCTCTATTTTTAAGGCAACTGACTCATCGTTATGTTTTAAACATTTGTTGAAATCCAGAGTTTTGGCCGGCTACATGGATAACTTCTTTAATCCTAGGACAAGCATGTGAAACATTTCCTATGTTTTCCACTATGGGCATGTGGAAAGTTCTTTGTCCACATTCTAGCATTTTTGATACATGCGGCAACAGCTAAGCTCCCAACCCAGGGCACCATCCCATGGGAATAATCCCACATCAACCGCAGGGAAATAAACAGCAGACATTCTCAAGAAAAGAAAACAGCCCATTTCCCTTTAAATAAAGTGTGGGCATTGGGGATGCCTAGCAGGGACCTCTTGATGGTCTCCTTGGAGAGCCAGCCTGGTCTATAATGATGTAAAAGAATATTTGTAGCCCAGGGTTGAAATGAGGGCTGCTTGGTGCTCTCTGAGTTGGGTTGTATTTTTGCAGACGTTTCATGACCCAACTAGGTAACATCTTTAGGGTTAGAAGGGAGGAGGAGGAGGAGGAGGAGGAGGAGGAGGAGGAGGAGGGGGAG